GTTTCTGTTAGTGACGTCTCTTATAGAACTTCTAGTTAATCCACTCAGGCCACTCTACCAAAAACACCACAGACTGGTACTTAAACACACCTATTTCTCCCAATTCAGGAGGCTGGGAAGTCCAAGGTCATGACACCTGCAGGGTCAGCATCTGCTGAGGGCTTGTTTCCTGGCTCATAGGTGACCGTCTTCTCCCTGTGTCCACACATGGCAGGACAGGCCAGCATCTCCCTGGTCTCTTTTCACAAGGCACTAACCTCATTCATGAGGGCCCCACCCTTAAGACAGAATCACGTTGCACAGGATGCACCCCCTAATGTCACCACCAGGAGTTAGATTTCAACCTAAAACTGGGGTGCACACAAAAACTCAATCCACAATATAGCTGCACTCACACCCCCAAGCAGACATGCCCGTGGCCTTGTCCTAGGTGAGAAGGTACCAGAGGGAATGGGCCAAGACTAAGAAATCCTACTTTTTGGCCCCATCTGGATCCTCATTCATGGTTGCCAAAGTTGGCAGTCTAGGTGGGATGTGACAGAAGGCACTGTGGTGCCTGACAGAAACTGCCTTGGGGTAAGTGGCCTGACCTCTGTGGCTGTTTCCCCAGCCGTCAAATGGATATAACAACACACCCAGAGCACATGTAACATGGAGCCTAACACGGTCCATATTAGGCGCATTATGCACTGATGTTTGTGAAATTCTTACAGCTATGCCTGACCTAGAATCAGCAGTATATTACACAAGTTTGATTAAATATCAAAAATATAAAATAAACAATTGACTGCTACTTAGCTATAAAAAAATGAAATCCCACCATTTGCAACAACACAGATAGACGTAGAGGGTGTTATGCTCAGTGACATAAGTCAGACAAAAACAAATACCATATGATCTTACTCATGTGGAAGATAAACAAGCAAGCGACCAAAACAATGTCTTAGACTACAAGGCAAAACAGAGTAGCAGAAAGGAAGGGCAGAGAGGTCACGGTGTGCATGATGAGCACAGTGTAATAAAAACAAGTGTTGATTGATGATCCTGTCCACCTGAGACCCATTTAATGGTTGTAAGCCAGTGTGGTTCATTACAAAAGATGAAAAAATCACCTTTATGTTATTGGATACTGGGCTTCGGACAAAACAACGCAGAAGTGGTGGTGACCAGCCATGAGTATGACAGGCGGAATTCGAAGCGTGCACACTCCTGCTAGCAACTCAAACACTAATCCAGGTGCTCATTTGAACGGACTTAGGTAATCATGTCCCATTTCAGTGCCCTTAGTGAGATGATTCCGGGCCTCTAGAAGCAGTTTGCTCCAGCAGCAACTCGGGAACCAGGAAGCCGATTCCATGGGTCCTGAATTTCACACAAATCAAGAGCTCTGGGTGGACTCAAGATGCTGAGAGAGGACCCCGCTGATATCTAGCTGGAAAATGGGGTGAAAGTTCTCCTAAACTGAAAAGCACTGAATTCTGCCTTCAACCAGCGCTCTCCCAGAAAGACCCCAGAGCCTCAGTGAACATGAGCCTTGACCAGGCAAGCACCTTAAGGCCCTGAGAGACCCTCAGAGAAGAATCCAGTCATACTGTGCCTGGAGTCCTGACCTGCTCTAAGATGAGAGCATACATTTGTGTGGCTTCAGGCCACAGAGCTGGCCATTTTTCGTGGGCAGGGAAACGCACAAACAAAAGCCCATGCACAACTTAGCAAAAGAGCAGTCAAAAGGTTCTGTTCAAAGCCCAGGCAGCTTCACGCCACCTGGTCAGCCTAGAGATTTTGTCACTGCACCCCCAAAGTGGCCCTGGGCAATGGAGGCCCCCTACCCACTTCCCTGTTCTATGGCCTCGACTCCAACCGAGACCTTTCAAGGCTGCTGCCTTGAGAGCATAACCGCAACTTGACAATATGGAGCAGGCAGTGGATGCCTCTCTCCCCAGACCCTGGGGGCTGAGGCGACCCCCGGCCTGAGGCCCAGCCCCGCCGGGCCTGAGCGTTATGGCCAAGTGCCACCTACCCATCAGGAGCTGAAGGCCTCTCTCCTTTTCTCCTGCGACTGGGCTCGGGTTCCAGTTCCAACAGAAGCGCCAGAGGCTCCCAGCGGAGCTGCAGCAAACCTGTTCTCGCGCAGCCGCAGGGCCAGCGCAACCTTTGACCTCAGACCTAGCTCCGCCCCTTTTCCAAAACTGACAAAGGAATCCAGGGCTCCGAGGACACAGGGGCAAGAAAAGTAGAAGGCTGAGTATTGCATTCACCACCGACTGTGTGGCTTTTTGCAAGTTCCTTAAACCCTCTGCACCCCATCTGTAGAGTGGGGTGACGTAAGGTTTGGAGCTGTTACTTCGCGGCCTTTCACACTCCAGGTCTTACCGGGCCCTAGGGCTGAGATTTCGCCTTGTAAGCCCTGCTCCACCCCCCGTAATATAAAGTTGCCATCATGTTACAAAGCCCAGGAAGAGGCTGACCAGCACATCTTGCGCCCAGGCTGCTGAGCCGTGAGTATCTGCTTAGTGTCCACTCCAGCCGGGTACGGGAGTGTGGGACCACGTCAATCAGCCACAGGATAAGCCCAGAATAAATCAACCTCCTCCCTGGTCTCTCTTGCTTTCTTTTATTTGTAACATGCATTGTGCCATCCAGATGCACTACTGGTCAGCATTTTGACTCAACTGAGCCAAGGTAAATATAACAAAGTAACAGTGAGACTAGGCTACAACAAATGAGTTAAATTTGCCATCTAAAAACAAGGTAGAAATAAGATAAAATAAAAAGTCATTACCATTTTCAAAAGGTGGTTTCCCCACACTAAACATTTACACCCCTCATTCAGGAAGCTGGGGGCTTTATGACAGGGAACCAGCCTTGATAACAAAGTTAGAAGTTCTGCCAGATGGCGATGAAAAAACATTGAAAAGTATGGACCACCTACCAGTAGAACCACGTCGGGCTCATAAAAATAGATGTCCAAGTTAAACAGAATCTTCTTTTTGAGCAGTGCTAGGTGAGGTCACTTGAAATTTTCCTGAACCACAGTGAGGGAGGGGGCAGTGGTGTTCCTGCTTGTGGAGATGACCATCTCTTTCATGGGTTTTGGAATTGTTAACTGTAAGATTTAAGCAAAATGCTTGTCCCCTAATCGTATACACTGCTGGCTTAAATTCGGAGGGTCTGGCTCAGGGAACACTGACACAAGCAAGTCTGCCCAACACATTTTACAGAAAGCCGTGGTACTTTTAAACTAGTGTTGAAAACAAAACAAAAAACTACAGTAAAATGCCTCTAGCTCCTTTCTCCTTAGCAAATGATTTCCCCCACGAGTGAAGATTCAGAGCCAGTACGGTGCCTCTGTCGTCCGTCGTCCACCGCAGCCCCACTGGAGCCTGAAGCACAGACACAAGCACTCGCTAATTATGTCCCCAAGACACGGACTAAATGGATTAGTGAGTGCAGGATGCTGGTGTTGATTAGCTGTCTATATCCTGAGCAGTTACACATGTAAACACCATCAGATCAAGAATTTTTTCTAAAGCAGCAGGGAGGTGAGGTTCTAGAGAGTCACATTTGAATGTTTGGAAAAGGAAATCTGGTGCCAGTGGAATTTATCATTACAAAGTTTTCATCCCCGGATGGAAATTTCCAGAGCTTATGTTGTAAACCATCTTACAATGGGTCGTTTATGAAGCGCTACCCCTTTGCTTCAGTCACCGTGTGGCAGCAGCGCCATCTGCTGGGGAACTAGTTGGGCGTTTCAGAACAATAGTCTACTCTTTCCTAGAGCAAATTGAAGTTAGAATCACAGAAAATTATATTGGAATAGCTTGAGAGATCCTTGAGGCCGCATGTCAGCATACAGATAAGGATTTGACTTAAGTGTGTACAATATTTTCTTTCTTTTTATCAATTCAACGGCGCTCCAAATTCATCTCTCAAAGAGAAAACTGCAACTACCGTACTCATTACTAAATTATGTCACAGGTCTCAAGTAAATCAGAAGCTGAATGGCAGTTCAAGCCCAGCCATCCAGTATCTGAAGAGTGCTGAAGGAAGCTTCTGCAATGATGGGACAATAGAATTGTCTGTGATGCTACCGGTGTTGTCTAACGTAGCACTACTAGCTGCGTGTGGCTACTATGTGTCCCAAACATGGCTAATGACAGTGACGAAGTAGATTTTTCATTCTATCCAATTTCTATTTTTTTTAATGGCCAACATAGCGTGGGGGTTCTCTATTGCGGCACTACTTCATTTGGAACTGGATCATTCTTTGTGGCAGGGAGCCCTGGCCACCAGCCACAAGGTGCCCGAGCTGTGACAATCAAAAGCACCTCCAAAGGCGGTCAAATGGCCCTGAAGGAGCAAAATCAGCGCTACGTGAAACCCACCAAGCCAGTAGCCACTGTCCGGTGTTCAACAGTTGCGTTCTAGAATGTATCTGAAATGTATTTGACACTTTGGCTGACAAGAAGAATTGACTCCTCTACTAGGGCACTTGTGGTTTTTTTCCTGAGGACAGGGAGGGTTTTAGAAATGTCAGACATGGACAAAGAAATGTCTTTTCTCTTCACCTCCCTTCACATGTCATGGAGATGGAGCCAAGACAGTAAGAAGGGAAAATCCTGCCCCTCTGCACCCTCCCCAGGTCAGTATGAAAAAAAACTATCCTCACGTGGGCAACTAGACAAAGTAACTGCCTTGAGTCGGCCCCCTGCAGCGGGAAAGGCAGCTCACCTACCCTGTGAGGTGGCCGTCAGCCTACATTAGACAAGGCCTAACGCGTTCCTAACTCAGTCTTGGCAAACAGCACATGTTCAAAACCATTAATTGTGTTAGTTCCCCCCTTCCAGTTTGCATGCCTTCCAAGCAAGAGTACAAAGGTACCCAGTGTGCTTCCCCTAAACATAAAAACCAACTGTAAACAGGACCGATTCGAAAATTCCAGAGGCCACAAGACATGATAGCATTGGTCTGTTGTTTGTAACTCCATTCCCTCGACACATTCAAATGTGTAGGAGAAACTGTTTCAGCTCCTGTGGGAGGACCAGGCTGGTGATCTTATGATGCTGCTGGATCCCGAAGCACTTCCGGATTCGCAGGCGACAGAGCTGCTTCAATGAAGGGGGCCCTGGGGGAAGATATCAGACAAGTCACATGTGGGGCTCATGGACCTGAGGCGGCGCTCCCTTTCGGTCTCTGAAAGCAGACCACCGATCCAGGAAATAACAAGGCCCTATGAAGCCACTGCCGCTTTCTGCGGGAGGCGTTTGTAGGACTCTGGTTTCAGGCTCTAACTGAAACAAGTTTCTTAGGGCCGCCTGTAGAACAGACTTCAATTCTCACTCCCACGAAGGGAGGCTTATGGGAGCTGATTTGGGGATTATGAGGCTACAAAAAATTCCCAATGATGAACATCAAATTCACATTTAGTGGCTTTTTTGGTTGTTTTACCTTTTAAAAAACGATGTCCTATTTCTATATACACTTTTAGTTTGCACTTGGAGCAATTTTAAGATATTCAAATATAACAAGGTATTAGTGAATCACAGGGTATGTTATGCTACTATATGTTACCTTATTAAGTCATATTTTTAAATTCTGCCTTCAGAGCTATTCTCGTGACTCAACTGATAGGTGAAAAGTGAACCCACATAAACCTTGCCCAGAGCCCCCAGCGTCTTAACTCGTCTGGACAGTGGCTGCCCACAGGGGGAGCAGCTGGAGGGAGAAGGGGCCCTTGGCAATGTCTGGAGACCCCTGAGGTCATCACAACGCAGGAGCATGGTGCCCCTGCAGGCCATGGCCAGTCACAGGGAGCCCCAACGTTGAATAGTGTGGAGGCTGGAAGCCTGATTAGAGGGTAAACGTATGGGAAATGATGGCTCCCCCACACCTCCGCCCCAAAGTATAATGAGAATTCAGTTTTGGTTATTAGAAAAACAACATATCAGGTGTGGCAGACATATCCTGACCCACCCACTGCTCCTCTCAGCAGTGTATTTCAGTACAAATTTGTTCTACTCCCCATTCTGTCTCTGGTGAATCCTCTCAGCCACCCTCACCTCAGACCTGTACCCCAGTTCTGGATGTATAAATTAAAAAATAAATCTGGAAAAGAACATATCAAAGTACAGACCCCACTCCAAGAATCCCATAATGCAGTAGCCTTCAATCCAGGCTGCACTTCAGTGTCCCTTGGGGGGTGGGGACTTTAAACTAGGGCATATCGGGCCCAACCCCAGAAGGGTGGCTTCAGTGATGGTTGGGTGGGACCTAGGCACGCACCCCACCCTGTGTCCTTGGGTGGCCAGGGTTGAGGACACCACCAAGCACAAGTGCCCATTTCCCAGGAGATGGCGAACCAGCGGTGGAGAGAGACAAGTGGAGCATCAGAGCATCAGTGGGGCTTCTCATCAGGCGCAGGCAGCACCTTCAGAAGGCCCCTGTGGAACTGGGGTGCTCTCTCGATTGTGGTCAGGGTGCTCAAGGCCTAGGCCCACAAGCTACAGCAAATCCTCCGTGGGCAGACAAAGGTAATCTCATCTCAGTATGGAATCCCGCAGGGTGTGACTAAGCAGAGCAGCCTGCACTGGTGGGGTGACGTGCTGCCACGAGTGAAGAAGGACGAACGGCAAGGAGAGCGAGGGAAAGCAGGACGTCACCACCAGTTCGGCATCACAACCCGTGGGATGGGCTGCCCCATCACCTGGCTGCCACATAAATACAGGTGAAGGCCGGCCCCCGCTGGGTAGCCATTTGCTGGCCCCTGCAAGTATTGGGGCGCAGGAGGAGGTTGCCTTCCTCAGCCAGAGAGCAGTTACTTGCCATTTCTTGGGGTCTTGATTCCCTACCCCACCCTGCTAGCTCGGAACGCTCTAAGGTCAAGAGGCATCCAGGAGCGGCTCCCGCCCACCTGTGCGGCTGGAGTGCGCGCTACTTCAGATGCTCCGAGGAGGCTGGCGTGTTGCCCTTGAAATCCTTTGTGGGGACACCAGAGGCTGGGGTTGCTGTTATTCTGCTGGCCTGGCCCCAGTTCCTCTCGGCTTCTAGACTGGTCACCTCACCAGAACCCCCAAAATGAGCCGTGGAAGCCCATGTCATGTCTGTTACCTCCAGCGGCAAGTGTCATTTCATAAAGCCCAGGCGTCGCGGGCCATGACCACGCAGGAGTCAGAGGCGCCGCCGGCACCTAAAGCGGCTCTGGGCAGCAGAGTGGCCAGGGATGGGCAGCGGGCACTTGACGACCCAGTGAGATATTGTGGGGAGCAGGGTGCTGGGGCCGACTATATAGGTGCCTCTATGTTTGTGTGCAGGTCTAGGTCTAGGACCTGGTTGTAGGGAGCCCCGGGGCACATTCGGCTTTCTCAGTTAAAAACAATCCACTTCACAACTGTGCAGGTGTAAAAATGAATACAGTCCAGGTAGTTTTAGCAATGGTTTTCCTTCTGGTTTTAAAGTTAAAACATTTCTGTGGCCCTTTAAAACATTGTGGCTGCCAAGCATCAAGCCATCTTGTTCCTACTGAGGGAATCGGCCATGCGGGGGGTACAGACAGAATTGCTCGGAAACAAGAAATCAAGAAAATGCAGGTAGCATTGCCTGATGATTACTGTGGCTTTTCAGCAGAGGATTTGTCGGATGGTTCCATGAGCCCGGGGTCCCACTTTCCAGGCCCCACTGACACTGCTCGGGGAGTATAAGCCTTGTTTTGGGGGCTCCGGGCAGGGCTTTGGCCACAGTGCCCCACAGGAGGAACAGGGATTCCATCCTGCCCTCAGTCTGCCCAGATTCCCACAGTGCAGGGAGAGAAACCGCAGTACTACACACTATCACAACCCTCCTGGGGGTGGGGGGGTTTGCTGCACTGGGCCCCACAAGCCCTAACATGTGGCAGAGTCCACACTCGGAAAAAGCGGGGCTGGGGCTAGCTGCTCAATTTCAGGGTCCATTTCAATTGCAAATACAGCCTGAGGACCTTTACTGCCCAGCCCAGGCCACCCCGACCTTGCAGCCAGAGAAGCACCCTGGCCCTAGCCTGTCGCTCACCACCATGTGGTCTGAGTTTGTGGGGCTCAGAGTGTCACTTCCTATTTATGGGGTGGGTAGACTTAGTGTCGATTAACTGAAAATACTACATGTCTTCGCGTTACTGGGACGCGTTGATGAAATACCTTATAATGCTTGGTCAGTTGCATTCTTAGCCCCCAAAAAGGGTGTAGTCATTCAGCCCAGCTGCAGTGCCCAGGCCATGGAGCTCTCCAAAGAGACCTCTGCCCCTACCTCTACAGCATGCTTCACCTAACTGTAATATTAACATCTGGGAAGTCTCTAACTCTTTGGAAACAGGTCTCCCCCACAGAAGAATCCTAGATACTCAGCATGTCTCTGACATGCCGAACAGGATGTTTCCTCACTGCCCAATCGGTACACACGTCATGAAGGCTAAATCATCTCAACTGGCCACACCAGGCCACGGCGGACACGCTCTATTTTAAAGAAGTTAAAGGTAAGTTCAGTACCTGCCTCCCACTAGCGTGTGCAGGAGTCTACGGACTAGGACTAGGTTCAGGCAAAGGAGAAGCACCTTCTCTCTGCAAGAAGAGGCGGGTCAGCGGGCTCTCAGGTGGCAACAGTTCCAAGGGGCGTTTCCCTTCGGCGTTCTTGGCCTGGGTGTCCGCGCCAAAGTCCATGAGCAAGTTGATGAGCTCCCCATTGGACGCCCTGGCCACCGCATGGAGGGGCGAGTCCAGACCTTTGCCTTGGTTCACGTTTGCTCCTGCACAGACAGGACAACAGAGGGTCAACGGAGGAGCAGGGTCCTTCTCTGAGCCCTGTTTCCTTCAAACCCCCACAAAGGGACACGGGATGGTCCTTCCTGAGAAAAATAGGAGATGACTTGATGCTACTTAATGAAATACGGGGAAACGTGACTGAATATACATGAGCTGTAGTCCGTGAGTTCTAAGAATTCACTTCTGAGTGTTCAACCTAGATGAAATAGCTACAAGACAAATTCTGGGGGTGTGAAAGCTGCACGCTGATTATGAACAGAGCCCGAACATTAGGCTGGACAGACCAGAAGTGAGGATGGAGGGCGGACTCCTGCCCATACCAAGTGGCCAGATTCACATGCTGAGAGATGCTGTGGGGTTTTAACCTGGGCCTGGGACTGCTAATTCTGCGAAAAGTGACCAACTTGTAAGAGCATCTCCTCGACTGGGTGGCCAACACCAAGAGCACAGGGAGGGCAGCGCAGCCCTCTTCAGGAACAAGGGTGCTTCTAGCCTGCCCCCCCAATCCCATGCCCACACTTGCAACAGAGCCCCAGCCCAGCCCCGAAGCCGGCTCTCTCCATGACAGGTGGGGACAGGTGGCTCTGCTTAGTGGCTATCTCCGGGAATCTGTGTCCAGTGTGAACTGGGGAGGGAAAGATGACTGGAGTCTTAAAGAATAAACAGCACTCAGATAATTAAGGAGGTGATGAAATGGCGTTAGAGACTGGACAAGGCGGGAAGGGAAAAGGAAGGCTGGTGCACAGGCTTTCACAATCGCTTCATTCCTGTGGGCTAAAAATGGGCACGTTCAAGTTCTAAATCAAAGAGAACTGGAAGAGAAGGCCCCAAGTAGGAAGACAGTCCTAATCCAGCAACTCTGCAGGTTGTGCAGGAACTAACGATGATTAGCCAGAGGGAGGGAAGCAGAGGAAAGGGAGAGAAACGAACCATCACTGGTTATTCACATGCCCTAGCAGAAGGTATTACCACCAGCAGCATCATTATCCTCATTACAAGTAAGAGGATCAAAGTTTAAAGCATTTAACCTAGTTCCCCATGGGAACAGTCACTAGGAACCCCAACTCTGGCTGACTCCCTCGCCTGCACGCTCCCCTCTGCTATACTAGAGCAAACTTGAAGAGACATTTAATTGACTTTTCATTTTCTCCCCTGGCTTCGCTTTGCTTTCTGCGTTACCTGACTCCAGAAGTGTCTTGGCACAGGCAATCTGCTGGTTTTCGCAAGCCAGGTACAGTGGTGTGCCCAGGTGGTTGATGTTGTGGTCAATATTGCCCCCATGAGCAGCAAGGGACTTGATGCACTCGGCGTGGCCTGCAGCCGGAGAGAAGGAAGCACAGTGCTCAGCTAGGGAAACAACAGTGTCCCCGTTTTTTGCACTGAAGTTTGCCCCCACTTGTCCAGGGAAGCAAGAGCCATTTCCTTTACTTAGAACAGGGAGTGATTTTCAGTGCTGTCGCCTACGTCCAGGTGGAGCAGGCGAGGTCTGCAGCCGTGGGGGAGCTGACGGAGCCTGGTAGCCACAGTAAGCAACCTGCAGCCACCCACCTCTTCCCGTCTTTGCGGCCTTGCAGCCAGACTGGGAGAGAAATCCAAGTGAGCTCAGGAGCGCTGTAGAGGCGCCCGCACTCACGTTGGATGCTGGGTGGGCTCTGGGACCCAGAGTGAAGCTTCCAACCTCCCCCAGGGGCAGGCCCCTGGAGGCGGTCACGGCTCGCACATGAGGCTTAGAAGAAGCTGCGGAACCCAACCTGAGCCGGCCCATCTCGCCAACAAGGTTCGGTGAGAGTGGAATCACTCCTCCTTGGTCTAGAATGCCAAAATAATGCTCCCTTGCATATCTCTGGTTATACCAGCTGCGTGCTACGTACGTAGTGTGAATATGATGAGTAAGCATGTCTCTGGATGAAAGGATGTCAGTGCTCGAGGAGATAATTAAAATATGAGTGGAAGGCTGCTGAAGGATCATGGGGAGCCATGGGATGAAAACCACTGGGCAAATAAATAGAACGCCCTCTGGCAAGGTCTGGTCATGACCGTGAGGCCGATGAACACTGAGGAAGAGCAAAACTTGCAATTTTACTTTTTGTCTCCGAGTTAAGAATATCAGGAAGACTGGCTTTATAAAAAGCACTACCACAGATGAGTAATTTCCAGGGAGCTAGTGTGCCCTGTGTTGACTGTAGTTAAAGATACTATGTTGTGTAATTAAATTTGTGAAGAGAACTGGAGTGTTGTGATCGTGCGCGTGCACGCGCGCACAGACACACACACACACACACACGAGGTGACCGTGCAAGGTCACAGATACATCATGAACTTGATTGTGGTCATTTCCCAAACATCTACCACATCATCCATGGTATACTCTTAATCCAGCCCATTTTATTTGTATTTGTTTTATCTGTTAACAGCTTCCAGTAGTCCCAAGGCAATCTTTCCTTAAGGCTCTAAAATAGGAGTACAGAAACTGTTTTTAGAAAATAGCTTGATTTCCATGGGATTGTGGGTTCAATAATATATTCCACAAATATTGATGGCTGGTGTGCCGCGTGTCAGACCCTGTCCCAGAAATGCCCCAGAATGTATGACCAGGCCACCTCCAACTTACTGAGCACCAGGCCCTGGAGGGCTTGTTAAACCAGACACAGCTGGCTGGGTCCCACCCTGCCCTGGGGTTTCTGAGTGGGTGGGTCTGAGAGTCCTCAGATGAGCTGCTGCTCTAAGTTACCCCTCCTCTTCTTTTAACCGTAAGCAGTCCCTGGAAGGAGTGGGTGGAAAACTTAACTCTGAACACATTTCACCTCTCTTAGCAGCTTCGTGGATCGGGGACGCCAGATCACTCAGAGGCTGGGGGTTGGCTCCGTGCTGCAGAAGAAGATCCACGCAGTCCTGGCTGCCGCTGACACAGGCATTGAACAAGGGGGTGTGCCAGTCTGTCGTGATGCTGTTCACCTGGAGACAAAGCGCAGGGTCGAGGCAGGAAGCAGGGTGGCCTGGGCTTAAATCATTGTCCGGCTGGGACTTCACGTCCCAGAGCCTGAAATTCCACAACTAAATCAAGGAGGGGGGGAAATACCAAATTCCACAAGGTTGTTGTGCATGTAAGGCACCCAGAGTGTTCCTGAATGTTCTGTCTCCTCCGTGCCCTTGCCGGGAACATGAGCTCGGCCATGAGTTAGGAATCTCCTTATTTTCAACACTCCATCCTAGGCCCTCCCCCAGGGTCCTTGCTGCAGGGTAACATTCTAAAATTGTTAATGTGCCGTTTCAAACAATTTTAAAACATGGCTTGTGAACAAATATAGAGTAAATGCAATCAAAGATTTTGTTCAATCCATTTATGAGGGAAGCAATCAGATGGCCGGGCTGGTGCAGAAGGAGCTGTGCGTCGTTAGCAAGCACTGGGATACAAATCTGGTCAGGGCCCCACAGGCCGTGAAGCTATCGTCTCGGGGCTGCCTTTCCCAGCACTGGAAACCAGTGAGAAGCTGACACATCAGCACCAACCTCGTAGCTATCACCACACGCCATGAGCAAAGCCGAAGGCAGATGTGTTTCTCTCCATTGAGCAACTGTTAGGTGAACCTACTCCACAAGGGTGCCGAGCAGACAGACGTCATTCTCACACTGTTCCAAGCAAAGCCAGGACTAGCGAGGCACCAAAGAGGCCCACGTGCACCCTCGGGGTCCCAGAAGTGCTACCTGACTCAGAGCAAGTGGCTCCTGGGTGTCTGCACCCCTGGTGCCCATCCTGCCTTCCCTTGGTCCTCACCCCGTTTCTAAGTTTGGGGTGAATTTTCTTAGCCAGAATGCAAACCGGCAATGCATTTGCCTGTGGCTTGCTACTACTCTCAGGACAAAGCCCGAGGCCGAAACACCAGGAGGTTTGCTTTCAGGTCCTTCTGACCCACCCAACTCGCCTGCCCCAAGAACAATGACAGGTCCCCCAAATCTGCTCAATTTTACTTCCAGGCCTCTGTCCCCGGGGGTTGTGATGCCCATAACCTCCCCACCCATCCAACATGAAGCTGACTACCTCCAATAGGTCCTCTGGGTGTCGGTGTCGCCATGATGGTCCGGAGGATGTCTCTTTTGACTCCCTCTCCCCACCAGAAGTATGTGTTCCCCAAAACCCCCTTACTAGCAATACTTACTATATCATGGTAGTTTGCAAAAATGGCCAGATTTTTCGAAACAGTATGAATAATCATTTGCAGCATGGACTTGTAACTCCTCATCACACCATGGAGACTACGTTCCAACCCTTAAATCTGGGCTCGCCCTTATGACTTGCTTTGGCCAATGGGACAGTTGCAAATGTGGCCCAAGCACATTTGAACCCCTTAGAACCCCTGCTGAGAAGTGAACGAGTCTAGGCAGTTGCTACAGGATGAGAGCTCACGTAGAGATGTTGTGTCCCCAGACATCCCAGCCAAAGTCATCATGGACCAGGCTGCCTGAGCTGACCTGTGAGTTAACCGCAAATGCATCAGTCACCCCAGCTGAGGTCAGCTGACCCCATCCAGCCAGAGCTGTCCAGACAGGACAAGGAACTGTGAGCTAAATAAATGGCTGTTGTGTGAAGCAGGTAGCTTCTTCCACAGCAAAAGCTAGTGGACAAAAAAGTGTACTAGGCCTGACTGCTATGGCCAACACGCTGTACATATAAGCCTATTTCCTCTCTCCCGGGCACACAATTACACTGTACTTCCCAGTCTCTCTGGCCGGCAGACATGGCCTAAGTTCTGGCCAGCAGATGTGGGCAACAGTGATCATCACTGCCAAGACTGGCCCTTACAGTGTCCACTCCCGATCCTCCACATCTTTTTCCCTTCCAACCACCCAGAATGGAGCTGACTCCAAGAGCACACGTGGAAGCCACTTGTTGAAGAGGGCAGAGCCACAGAATGCCAGGAGTCTGTGCCCTCAAATCTTCCTTAGAAAAAAGCCGCCCGGGCCCTCCCTGGTGGCGCAGCGGGTTAAAGCACTGCACTGAGAAGCTGAAGCCACTTCCGCATGAGTTCAAATCCCGCCTGCCCCGGAGGAGACCACATGGCGTGGCAGACCTCTCCTGTCTCGCCCGCTGCTCCCCTCAGCAGTGTACTTCGTTGATCTGCCTGTTCTGCTCCCCACTCTGTCTCTGGTGAAGCCTCTCACCGCCCCTGAGCCTCTGACCTGTACCCCAGTTCTGTATGTACAAATAAATAAATCTTTAAAAAAAAAAAAAAAAAAAAAGCCGCCCAACCAGGAGTTTGGATTGAACCAAAAATAAACTATAATTGCATCAGACGGTTGAGAGACTGGGTTTATCTACTGAAGGTACCAGTGTTCCATTCATTAATTGGCCTGTTTCTCTGGCTGTCTCCTTATGGAGTTTCTAAGTTTCTTAAAAATATAAAATAAAAAAATAAAACTTAGAAACAGGCACATAGTAAGTGCTCAGTCCATACTGGTTGAGAGAATATGAGAAAGCTACATGTAATGTTCTGATCTGATTTTCCCATCACTGTTAGCACGAGTTATGGGAGGCGTCTGGTCCCTGCTTTCAAATCCAGTGGCTGTGTCTTCCTTCTTTGTCTGGAGTATCATTCTACCATCTCCAAATAATCATCACAGGCCTTTTCTCTCTCAGTCCTTGTCACACCACCATAAGCTACACAGTTCCTGTTGTGTGCCCCCTACCACAGAGAGGCTCGGCAGCTCACTGGCTGAGTTACTTGTCCAAGTTTCTGACGTGAGTAAACGGTAGAGATGACCTGGAAGCATTATTCAGGACGTAAGAAGTCAAACGCCATGTGTTTTCTACAGTATTTCACTACCTTCCCTAGGAAAGAAGGCAGAGCTCTGAGAGCTATTTATTAGCAGTGACGGTTACAGTGCATGATATATACTCAAACTCCTATTTCCTCGCGAAAAATGCAGCATTTCATCTATCACTAAAACAAATAAGCTTGATGGACATACCTAATACCTTTGAAAAATATCCCCCTTCACTTCAAGTCAAGCTAATCAACAATGCTGGAAATTATTCACAAGGGGTAGGAGTCATTCTTCTCCCATGGTTTCTAAGACATTGTTTGCACTGTGCTTACCTGAGCTCCGTGCTTTAACAGTATGCTCGCGCAAGAGGGATGACCTCCAAGGCAGGCTTCGTGGAGGGGGGACACGCGATCTGCTGTGATGAGATTCACAGGCCATCCCTGCAGGAGGGGAAACGGGAGGGGAAGGCGTGCAAAGCCACAGTTCAAGCACAAATCCAGAATGATGACAATTCCCTCCAAAGTGAATCTGGCCCCAAGTCTGACACTAAAGTGTTAACAAGGATATGAAACAATATATATATAGCCACCAGAAAAGCAAAAGGAGGAACTTTCAGACAGCTGGTGGGAGAGCACGATAGGATGCTGCTCAGGAAAAGCTTCCCGGCGCCTACTGGAGATGATCACGCAGTGCTGAACTCACAGGCCCTTTCACCTCCGCCCACCCGCTTGTCTGCTCACATGCTTTGGTGAGGTCTGCTACAAGGAGCTGAGAGCGGTCTCCAGCCGGCCACCCAGGAAGACTGGAAGCTTATCGATGGCTATGGAATGGGGACCTGCTGCTCCCTCAGTCAAGCCTTAAGGGGCCTGCATCACTGGCCTGCACCTGCGACTAAGTCACAACTCTGGACCCAAATAATTTGCATCTGGCCTCGCACCCCCAAGCGCTGTGAACTAATACACTTGTTATGTAAAGTCACTAAGTTTTGAGATCATTTATTACAAAGCAAGAAATGCCTAACACTGGTGATCTCCACAGACAGGCAGAAAGTCCCAACTGTTCTCACTCTAGGTATTCTGGGTGTGAAGAAGCAAGGTTCTGGAAGGCCGTGATGCCATCAACCTCTTAGAAAATGCACCTTCCAAGAGATGGGTCCAAGCAGAACACAGAAGAGGTTTTCAGAAAAAGACCCCAGGAGAGGTTCTCAGACCCCTGCCCTCGGAACACACTGTCCTTAACAGAGAACACACAGTACAAGAAAAAAAATATTTTCTCAGGGTATCTGGGTTAAGAGCACAGGTAGTTTAATGAAAGATTCAGCAATATATTGCAGCCTTTCCTTCGAGAATAGTCTCAATTGTCCTAAAGTCATCCCAATAAACCACCTCACTCAGCATCATTCCTGACAAGTGTTCTACTCTGGTGGCATCTATATGTTGGCCCCTCCCTGGTCTATCCTCTCCTGGCTCTCAACCTCTGACTATCAAATTCACCCATTTTTAGAAAAGCAGCCATTCTGGGCATGCCCAGTCTACAGGATATTGGCATCAGGGCCTATGAGGGAGGGGGTGGACCTAGGAAGGGGTTCTGGAAGGCTTGAATTAACCCATTAGAAATGAGAAATTCAATGTTCTTTACAGTAGATCACCATCGCAGCTCTGCTGCCTGTACAATCTTCTTACATAACATCAGATCCCATCTGTATACACCAAAAAATGCAGGTAAGAAGAAATATAAAAGACCAATTCCCAACACAAAAAGTTTTCACCACACGTGACATATTCACGTTAAAAAGAAGGTCCCCCAAGTCAAGGTTCCCTTTGTGAATGTAGGACTGTATTCACAGGTTACCACTGAGCTACAGTTCTACTTCAAGTGAAACGTGGAGACTGGTCAAATCTGAATTGGATAATGCTGTCAGGTAATGACCCAAAGCCAGCCATGAAGTTGTGCTGAATTTCAACCGAGGTCAGTTGACAATACATTCCCAGTAAAAGAAAAATGAATGGCTTATTTTAAGTCTTTGTTGTTACCGATGGTCTTCTAATCTCAACTTATGTCAGAAGCTCTTGTTTGGTGGGCCCTTGAGGCTGCACAGTCTCAGAGGGCCCACAGGTGGGCACAGTGCTCAGTACCTGATACCATTCTGTTCTAGGCCCAAATCACAGGCCCCACCAGGCTGAGTCAACTCACTAGACAAAGGTCAGGCTCTTCCCTTTGTTCCACACAGTTGCCATCCCTTTCTGGAACTTGCATCACCTTCCTTACAGCATTCCCTTCCTGACCTCAGGAGGTCAAAGATATTTGGTGTTCCTGTTCTCATTTCCCTTCCCCCACCCAAAAGTCTCTCAGCACCTCTTTTCTTCCATTGCGCCCTTTTTAAGGAACAAATGTATGCACTCACCCCAACAGCTGACCTCAGCCCAGTAGCCAACTTCCCCCCAGTGGGAGAGGCCTCACCCAGGGCTCTACCACCCCATGACTTTCCTTCCTCACCTCTCACAGACAGCCCAGGTTGCTCCTCTACAGGCCACTTTCCTCTCAAAAATGGTCTATCCCCATCATCTCCAGTTTGACCCCTTCACTCACCTTCCACAACACAACACTGCAGGGCTGCTTTTAAGATCACCAGCTGCCTCCTCCTGTGAACACTGATATACTTGGCTCTGGCCATCACTACACCCCCCCCTTCTCTATATTTTCATCTCGTGACCTTGGGAAAACTCTCCTCTGCCTTCAAAACAGCTCTACATGGAATTATCTCTGACTTCCAACTCCCTTTTTTCTCTCTCATGGCTCTGCCCTTTCCTCCTTACATCCTAACACAGGCATTTTCTCAAGAACTCGCCCTCAACTCTGTTCTCTTAATATTCCTTCCATATTGTATATATGTATTTGAAATCACTCTGCTATCTTAGTCTCTGCCCCCAGTGCACGTTCTAATTCCCTGTTAAGGCAGAATCTTCTGGAGACCCAGCACACAACATAAATTCAGCCTTTGCTAACTGAGCTCCTCCTGAGTGAACCCCACGCCCTCAGCCGGTTTCCAGATGGCGCCGGTATCTTAGTTCACGCCGAAGACTGAGAACCCCGAGGGAGGACAGCAGCATGACTGCCAGTTTCAAATGCTGGCACCATCACCTAATGAGAACTGTGCTCGTGGGCCAGCATCCATCTCCCTGTGCCTCAATTTCCTCATTTGTTAAAAAAAAGCACATTTCGTTTCACTAACCACTATCTGAAGTGCATGATGTCTCTCAACTGTGACTTTCAAGGCGGGCATCACAGATATTTTCATGGCATTATGAGTGTAGATACCTAAAATATCTTAAAATATATGTTTTGCTTAATCTTATTTAATGAGTAAACAAAGAAGTCTGTGTGTTTTTATGGCACGTTTGTTTTTTAATAGTTTGGTAGGTTTGATCTGCACCACTTCATGCATTTCAAACATTAGTCTGAGAGGAAATCCTTTGTCTGACCAACAAAGGGCCAAAGCCTCTTATAGTCTTTTCAGGAAAAAGAACATTCTCAACAAAATCCTTATCAGAATGTTGAGCGGTGATTTAAAACGTTTTTTTCTCAAAGTGGCTTGCCTTAAATTCCAAAATTTTTGAACCAGCAAGACCAAACTGATGTTTATTTACTATTACAACTGAGGTGCAGAGATTCCTACCGAACTGGGCAGAGCCAGCACCAACAGGAGATTCAACAGAACGAAGTGTCTTCGAAATGCCAAGATTACACACAAGATACAGTCCAGCACTGGCTTCTGGCGGGGATTCTCAACCTCTGCGCTACTGCCATTTTGCTGGGCTGTTTGGGGGTGTACAGGGCTGTCTCTCCTAAGGGGTCAAACTGCCCTATTGAGAAGCACTGTTTCACGTGATGATTTTCAAGAACAGTCTATTAATGTCAGTGAAGGCACCCTGCAGGCTCTGGCTCACCCTCATTCACCCAACAGCTGTCTCCTGTAGAGCCTGCCATGTGCTAAGCTCGAGTTATACCAGCCTCCAAATGAAGATATACTTGGGCAGGAAAGGAGTCACCCGTTTGGCTGAAGAGGAAGTGTGTATCCTAACATCAAATGATTGTTTTTTTCTCTCAGCGTGGTAAGCTATAGGATGTGCTTACATTTTTTTTTTCCCAAAAAGTCACCTACCTGGCTGATGAGGTTCTTCAGAGAGAGCAGACGGCCATGGACCGCAGCCTCATGCAAAGGAGACCAATCAGACACAGCATCTGTGAGGAGGGGCGAACAGGTTACACAGATCCACCTCAGCTCCCGAGCCCCATCCGCACGCAGCCATGGGTGCCAGCTCAGTGGTTAGGGGCCCGGGAGTCAGGCAACCAAACTCCCATCGGGATGTCAGGTTTTCGCTTCTCTGTTGACATTTCACATGCATAGCTGCTTTAACACGTGTAGGTCGCTAAAGAAAGAAGGAAGCCGCAACCCAGCTGAGGACAACAGAGGTCGCTGGGGTGGACAGATAATTACTGTACTTCCATTTACACACTGGCTTCAAAGGCAAATGGTCCATCCAGTGAAGAGAGCTCCGCTAATTACCAGCATTAGTGTGTTAAGCTGTGGTTGCCAGTCTAGCTTCCTGCGTGAAATGCAAAGTTTGGCATCTCAGTAAACAGTGCCACGTACTAATAGTAGTAATCATGTAATTACATACACCATTAGGTTTGGAATCAAATACAAACAGAACCGTATCTATTTGCGGATCACTTCCTGGCCCCATAACAAGCACACATCAAAGTTTGCTCTGACCTTGAAGCAGGGACACAATCTACCCCCAAAGGCAGTGCCAATGTGGTTAAGCCCCTGACTTGAGTCATGGACCCCCAAGTTTCTAATTCCTTCTCTGAAAGGGGAGACAGCAACATATACTTACCCAAGGTTCAACGCCTATTAGCTACTGTTATCCTGCCCTAACACCAATGATGATTATCCGCCATCATCATTGCTGTTTCAAATAGCATATTCTAGTCATATACTTTCCTAGGCAGGAAACCTACAAAGCCTGTGCCAGCACATGGCACTCTCTTGAGTGCTTATACCCTGAATGAAACAGAGGCCTGAATTTGTATCTCCAGCTGTGCCTAACTGCTAGAACCAACCACCTCAGGAAGTGAGAACGAAGGTGGCGGGGCTCCCCTGAACGTGCATCAGAAAACACACTCCCCATAAGCAGGGCAACCAGTCTGATACCAGCTGTGCCACAGCAAGGAACTGGGATCGCCTCAAAGCTGAGAAGACCCAAGAACCAGGCACAGTTGATTCTCAGATGATGTTACTCCATTCGACATCATTTCCTCATTAATATTGGGGGTAGGAGGGGGGAATCCAAGCCAACGCTGAACGAAATGGCATTCCTCACAGACCAGCTTCCTTAAAACCCCAGTTTCCAAGATCCCACAGGCTTGTTGGCTGGGGTCAGCCTGCTGTGACCCGCGCTAAATGGACCTTGGGAGCTAATGAGAGCCCTTGCAGATGGAACAAGGGAAGCTGTTACAAGACCGAGTGAGGCCGCCTACTCGCTGCACGCCCCATGCTCTCCTTCTGGGTCACCCAGGTGCCTGAGGCACCTGAATTGAAATGGTTTCCTGCCTCAAATCCTGACATTCACCAGAAGCACAGACCCTGACAGTACTCCCTGGGACTCCTAAGGCTCTCAGGAAGTTAACACTGGCTGCAGCTTCTAGGGTTTGGCACCTACAGGCCGGACTGCAGGTATGGAAAGTGCCCCCCCCCCCCAGTTAGGATGAGAACAACTAACTTCATCCTGGGGCTGCTAGTGCAAAACAGCATCCATGCAGAATCTTGGGTGAGAAGAGCCCCTCCTCACAGAAAGGTTTTGAAAAGCAGGTTTAAATAGATTTGCAATTGTGCCCGAAGGAATCACCAGGTTTGTAATGATTACGTTTGCTTCCAAGTGTTCCACTGCTAAGAAATAAAGCTGCCTCACTTCTCAACCCTTCTTCAGGCTACCTCAGGTAATTAGTGCTGACAGCCTCCAACAGCCATGCCAGTAATATGGGTCCTTAAGTATGACTCTGTTCAGACTACACAAAAATGATGCAGCTATAGCATCAAGTGTTGGTAAAGACAGACTCTACTTTCTACCTATTCACCCTAGCACTGTTTATGTACTTTTTGAAGAAGGGGAAAAAAAGCTATTTGAGGTTTTGCACCTCCAGAGCAGAATGTGGCATTTCTAGAATTTACAGGGCTCAGACCATCTGTGTCTTCGAAAAAGTGTTCCTGACACAAGCACTTGGAGCTGACAATCCATGTCTACTTAGCTACCTGACTATGACCATCCACCCACCTACCCACCCATCCACCTTTTATTTATCCATCAGCTATCTGACTGTCTGACAGCTTTACTGAGTCACAATTCACTTACTACACAACTCACTCGTTTAATGTGTACACGCAATAGTTTCCAGCATATTCATAATCACATAATCATTACCACCATCATTTTAGAGTAATTTCATCCCCCCCAAAGGAAACCATTGGGCCTTCGCACCCCCACTCGCATTCCCCTTGCCCCTGGAAACCACTGATCTGCCTTCGGTCCATGGACTTCCTGTCACAGACCCTTCATAGAGATAGAATTAGCAATACAGGCCCTGTACAACCGGCTTCTTTCACCGAGCATGGTGTTTCGAGCTCGCCCACAGTCCTATTTAGCAGCACCTCATCCTTTTTTGTCAGCAAGTAATATCCACTGTAAAGGCAGAGCACGTCTTGTTTTTCCAGTCATAGTGGCAGGCATTTGCACTGCCCCTGTTAGCTATGGTTCCTAACGCCGGTGTGAACATTCACACGTGCATTTCTGAGTGGATAAATGTTTCAGTTCTCTTGGATAGATATACCAGGGTATATGTGAATCGCAAGGCAATTTTCCAAAGTGGCTTTAACACTTTATGTTACTATCAGCAGCGCGTGCGATGTCCCTTTCTAACTCCAAGTCATTTTCACAGGGTCCTCGCAAAGCTCATATTCATCTTAAATTAATACAAGGCTTTTGGACTCAGCACAGCTCCAAACAGTTGAGTGATTATGTAAAAATGTACAACCGTGACCACAAAAAGTTGACATTTTCCTAGCACTGACATCAAAGGCATGAACATGTGTGTGCATGGATACATGGATGTACACGCACACACATTTCAGCAAACACCATGATTTGCAATAGGGGCTAGACCAGACACTGTCTGCCTACTGAACACTGAAGAGCTACCTGCAAGATGTTTCTCCGGGACTCTCCAGAGCCCACATCTTCTGCAGGCAATGAGCTACAAACTCAACACACAGACAGAGGAGCACTGCCTGCCTTCCTGCCAGCCAGCAGAGAGCAGAACACACAGGGCCTGCTCCTGCCACACAGGGACCAAGTGCATAGGAGGAGACTCTGGGCGAAGGGAGACTCAAGGTCACAATCTCCTTTTCCATGACCCCAACAGGTCTTTGAAGCTCAAAGGCCATGATCCGTATACAACACATTCCCCAAGTCCCTCGTGTTGGTCTAAAGATTCTTCCCCACACTGGTTCCGTGAGGGTCAAAAAACAGATGCCAAATGGGGTCACCGTCCATGTCACAGATGCAGTGGTGCGCTTTTAGTAGGGCAGGGGGCGCACCTAACACCCCTCCCAAGTCCACCCATTAGCCATCGAACTTACCTTTCTTTCACATTTGTCCCCATCAAACCCTGCAAGACAGCAGGGAGGCTGCCACTTCACTTTTTTTTTTTTTAAAGTTTTATTTATTTGTACATACAGAGCTGGGGTACAGGCCAGAGGCTCAGGGGCAGTGAGAGGCGTCACCAGAGACAGAGTGGGGAACAGAACAGGCAGATTGAGGAATTACACTGCTGAGGGGAGCAGCGGGCGGGTCAGGAGAGGTCTGCCACACCATGTGGTCACCTCCGGGGCAGGCGGGAATAGAACTTATGTGGAAGCGGCTTTAGATTCTCAGTGCTGTGCTTTAACCCGCTGCGCCACCAGGGAGGGCCTGCCACTTCACTTTTAATGGCAATTACTGGCATGATTTTTTAAATTTTCCATTATTTCAGAGAAGATTTAAAATGCACTAATTCGTACGCTTGTGAAAAGAACTACTAACGAAACTGAGAGCCTTCGTGAATGTCGCGCAGGAGCATAAATCTAGCCATCCCGGGAGACGGTTTGCAAGGTCAAGGAGAAAAGAGAGGTCGGGTTGCTCTGACCGGGAAGGAGTATTTGCCTTCAGTTTGTAACACAACGAGGGGAGCTGCTGACAGGGCATCGCAAGCCGGGGGGACCACAGCGGGATGCTGGGACAAATTAAAAAGGGAAGACAGGGAACCGGGACAGGCAAGGAGAAAGGTCCACTGAGGCCCTCCCTGGTGGTGCACCAGGTCAGGACGCAGCACTCCAAGCTGGCCAAAGCCACTTCAGTGTGAGTTCGATCCCCCGCCCCGGAGGTGACCACAGGGCGCGGCAGACCTCTCCTGGCCCGCCCGCTGCTGCCCTCAGCAGTGTACTCCATCCATCTGCCTGTTCTGCTCCCACTCTGTCTCTGGTGAAGCCTCTCACCACCCCCGCACCTCTGGCCTGTACCCCAGTTCTGTGCGCATAGATAAATCAATCTTAAAAAAAGAAAGGTCCACTGGGGTAAAAGTTGGATAAGTTGGTCTTGTCCCCCACAGTTCTTCACCCAGCTGGGTCGTTCATTCTCTCTCTCAATTTTGGGAAGAAACACGTCTCTATAGGTGTGAGGCAACAGGTGGACGCCAAAAAGGGGGACAGCGTTACCTGCACACTGAGATAATGGTCGGCAGTTGTTTATCCTTCGGTGTGGTTTCCAAAGACTCTGTGAGGAGGTATGAATTCATTTCCGAGGGCGCCACAACAAAGTGCCACAAAGTGGTCCTCCTCCTGCACCTCTGGTGAGGGCCGCCCGTGTATCCTTCCAACAGCTTCCTGATTGTCACACGGCCTTCTCCCTGTCTACCTTCACCCCTCTTCTTCTAAGGATGTCCATCACTGGGCTAGGGCCCAGCCCCCCATTATGTTTCCTTCCAAACTAATTCTAACTTCAAGGACCTTGTGTGCAAATACATTCTAAGGTGCCAAAGGCAAGGTTTCAGGGTAGTTTTGGGGAGGTAGCACAACTTGACTCCTAACAAGGTCTCTCCTTGGAAAGAGAAGCACTGCGTTCCTGCTCAGGGCCGGGGTCAAGCGCAAGGCGAATGTCTGCAGGGGCTGCCATCTGTCTATCCTTTCCTCCACCACCACAGAGGCAGGCAGAGAAAACCCTCAAGTGGAGGTAGGGACAGCAAAGAGGCTCGGGACGAGGTATTTTCACTCTGACCTAGCCGTGCCCGGAGAAACGCTTCACTGGCTGGGCACAGCGGTTCGGAAAGTGCTTTCCAAGTGGTTCACACTCCACCAAGGTCGACTTCGCAAGCATAAACAAATACAATACAGCTACACTTGCGGCTCTGCCCAAAGGGCAAGACAGAGGCAAAGTGGGGGAAGACCCACTTGGGTAAAGAGCAGAAAATCCGGGAGGACTTCCTGGGGGCAGTGGTCAGCAGGGTGCAAAAGGCGAGCAGGAGTTTGCCCACTAGAGGCAGAGGAGGAGGGCGGGCAGCAGAGGTGTCCTGGCACCTGCCTCATGATTTCTGCTTCTTTGAACACGTCTCTCCCCTTGGTCCCTGTAGAACAGTAGCATCCACGTCTCCTCCTGCATCTCTGTCCAAATCTCTGCTCTGACATCCTCAACTGGACACCTGCCCCAAGGGTCCCTCTCAGGATGGCGCTTGGCCCGCAGAAAACCCCTCCTCCTCCAGACTGCAGCACAGCCCCCCACAGGCCATCCTGAGCACGCTGCTACCCACCAGACTCTCTCAGCCTTCCGTCACACTATGCGCCGGGCACATTTCTGTTCAAACTGCAGCCCCTTCTCTTCCTTGCTCTGCTCCCAAGACAACCCCTCCACCCCTCCTCCAGCCCCTCTCCAACATCTCTCTTAGCTAACAATCACCTAATCACCTGGGCTGGAAAACATTAGAACATCAGCTGCCTTCTCGCCTTTAGCCCCAAGATTTCATCAAGCCACGGAGCCTCATTGCTCTTTCCTTTGAAATTATCACCCACACTTTTCCTTCTTCTGTCGTGTCCTATCCAAAATTCAACACACATGCCAGTTTAATGCTTGCATGGGTGCAGTGATGCTCAACATGTGCCCCCCCCCACCCCAAAGCACCGTCTGGACGTTTCTGCCAATGCAGAGTCCAGGCTTCACCCCAGACCTACTACTGCATCAGAAGTTCTGGGGGTGGGGCCTAGCCCTGTGCATTTTAACAAACTCTCCAGGTGATACTGATGCAACTGCAAGTTTGAGAACCACTGGGGAAATACAAATACTTCCGTGATCACCACAAATACATCCTGATGGTGGCTGCTAGATGAATTGACTTACAGTCTTCATATGGCCAGGCCTCTGCTCTGGAACCATCAATGGCTCCCAACTCCCTGTCCCATGAAGGTCAGTCTCCCATACCTAGTTTTCAAAGCTTCCTTGTGGGGTTCCATCTCTCCACCTTCTTCTCACTGAGCTACCTAAGACACTGCATTCCAGCAGTGACCAGGGCTTCACTGCCTAAGTGCCATACCTTTGAGAACACACACACTCACACACCTGTCCACCTCACCCCCCTTCCCACGCCAACTAGGACTGGATAAGGATTTTAGAAAACCTCTCAGTGCAATGTAGCTAGCGCCCACCATGCAGAAATAATGATAAACCTAACACTGCTATAAAGCCACTGGGCAAAAATCACCAAATCATTCTGTCTTACCCCAGCTGGTCTGTTGCTTTAAAAATGTTTATCAGGGCCCTCCCTGGTGGTGTAGTGGGTTAAAGCACAGCACTAAAAAGCTAAAGCCACTTCAGCATGAGTTCGATCCCCGCCCCGGAGGTGACCCACATGGCGTGGCAGACCTCTCCTGACCCACCTGCTGCTCCCCTCAGCAGTGTACTTTATCAGTCAGCCTGTTCTGCTCCCTATTCTGTCTTTGGTGAAGCCTCTCACGGCCCCCGCACCTCTGGCCTGTACCCCAGTTCTGTGTGCACAAATAAATAAATCTTTAAAAAAAAAAGTTTATCAAATTCATTTCAAAGAGAGATTTTGGGTGCTTCTACTTGCCCTCAGGGTGTTCAACGCTGCTAATTAACCCAGCTCTACCTTCGCTGACCCACACCCTACTCACTGGCGGGGACCCCACTCCTCATATAAGCCAGACTGGGTGAAGGAGTGAATGAACACGCAGTCTCGCCGGCTGGGTTAGTCAGAGGGAAGGCATTCTGTTTTCCATCTTCCGTGTCTGCCCTCCAGCCCCTGGGGAGGGGGACAGTGCAGGCCCGCTGCCTGCAGGCTCCCGCTCATTGCCTCAGAGGGCAAGGCCATGTGCAGCCCACTAGGCCACCCACACTACAGCTCCTCCTCCGGTATCTGCCCCTCTGTGAGAACCCTCGCCGCAGACCCTCGCCGCAGACCCTCGCCGCAGGAGGTCACCTGGCAGAGGCTCCCAGGAAACAGCTGCTCAGAGACCGTGGCCTCCAGACATTCGCCAGGATACCCAGGCAGGTGAGACTCCTGTCTGTCCGCCAAGTTTCCAAGGTTAAAAAAAAAAATCCCCCTTCACAGTGAAGTGATCACCATTTACGAAGCCAGCCCAACCTAAATGCCAAATACCTAAGGCCTCTGCATAAACACGTTAGCAGCCAAAATGTTGCTGTTTTTTAGTAACTTTAGACTCCCACAGCATGGAAGTGGTACCTCTGATTCCTGAGAGCTCGAGTTCTGCCTGGAGACTACACTGTGACCTTCAACTCTGGGTGGCCATGGCACTCTCGAAGCATTTTCAAAGGAGTGGAGGTCTACCCAGCAGGCCGTGGGCATCTATCTGCCCAGGAATTGCCCGTGGCCACAACTCACTAGGGGCCCACCATTGCAGTCCCCCCACCCGTTCATCTCTTCCCTCCCAAATTTGTTAGCCGCCACCCCCGTCAGCAGGGGCCCCACGACCACAGCCCCTGGACTCACCTCCCATTAAAGGGTTGGAAACAAGCCTGGGGTCCAGAGAGTCTCCCCGCCCCGGGGGCTTGCTGCTGGCGCTGCCCCTCTGCTCTCGGGCCATGCTGCACTGCTGGCCAAACAGCTCTGTTCCACTTCAGTGCTCAGCAAAGTCCAAATCCCATGCTCCCCTGCTCCGGGGAGATGCCAGAGCTGTGACTGGTAGAGCTGTAGGAGAGAAGAAGAGAGCACAGGGCAGCCGTGCCGTAATCTGAGTCCTACCTGCGGGCAGCCAGGCGCGCGGGCACACTCCGCCCAGGCTGGAGGCTGGCCAGAGCCCCGGCAGCCCCCCAGCCCAGGTCTACAAAGTTGCTGATGTCACGTCCTTTCCTCCAAACCGAGACCAATCAGGGAGGAAGCCTTGGAGTTTATCAGGAAGGAAACACAGTTTGTAACTTCTAGAGAGCAAGAAGGGGGGCGGTGAGGCTAGGAGCTAGCTCGCTGCTGCCCTTCGCCCTGCTGGCCCCTGTTTGTAGCTGGGGTCTGCGTGTTGTGGAGACCAAGATCCCAGTCAAGAGCTGAGAAGGCTGCTTTTCCTGGCTAGCAGAGCAGTGCAGCCAGCTGCACATGTGGTTTCAATTTTTCAGGGAGTTTCTTATGGGAAAATGTGTCTATATGTTACAAAAATGCACTTTGGGAAAACACTTCTATTTTCTTCCTTTGGACCAGGAGGCCTGGTTAAATGGCCTGCTTCACCCTTCCTCCACACATTGTATTTTAACTTCTAAGTAAACAAGTCATGATTGCTTGGAAGAAAAAAAAAAAGGTTGCTGGCAGTGGGTGTGGAAAAGACACACCAGCTTTCTTATAAATTGTGCGTTAGCACAAGTTTTACTTTGTATGGGAAGGTTTCCGCGGTTTGGCTTTACCAAATATGTGGGTTCACATGTGTCTTTTCAGATAGACCCACTTCACCCACACCCCTGGGTGCTGCTTCAGGCTGATAGTTACCCCTAAACTTTGCTGCTCCTTTCTCCAGGTGGAAGGAGGTGTTTCCCGCCTGCTGGAAGGTTCCTTAGGCGTTACAAGCATGGTATGGCTATGAAATAATTGCAGGTCACTTGGTATTTTAATGCCAAAGAGTAACCTTGCTATTGCAGTATAAGTATATATACCTCTGTTGCGAAGGTATGGCTCCTGGTAGGAAGACATGGCAACCACTGTCAACAGTCCGAGGAGTGCCTCCTATTTTCAAATGCATTGCCCTGCATACATATGGGGACCCACTGATCCCTGCACATTTTCCGCAAGTGTAGCTCCACGTGGCGGTTCTACGCTTTCACACACACATATCTGCCTGGAGAGCTTCAGAAGTACTGCTGTCCACGCGGATTGGTGGACACACGCAGACATTCTGGGGAAGAGCCCAGAGACAGAACGCGGAGTCCAAGGTGGCCCTCACATGCGTGCTTGTGTGTGTGGAACTAAAGACGCAGGAATGAGAACAAGTCAAACCGGAGAGCTCTGACTGAGGGCCGTGGGGTGTGCTGGTGTTTGTTTGCTGGCTGGGATATATTACCACAGTTTTGTAGAACAGTTATCATTAGGGAAAACAGATCAAAGCTACACAGATCTCTGTATTATTTCTTCCACCAGCATGTGAATCTACAATGTTCTCAATACACGCTTCAACCTTTTAAAAGGGCTGTGCTGAAAATTGAGATAGAACGGCCCAACGGCCCTTGATCTCTACAGAAGCAACTGAGTGGCCATACGCCTGCATCACGTGCACTGCCATGTGTGCTGATACTCAGGAGAGATCTGAAGAAGAGCGAAACTGGGTTTGGCAGAGCAGAGGCAGATACCCACAGCAGACCAATGGAGGAAAGGCGGGCACTGTGGGGAGGCTGGCTCCCACCACCGTTTCTGAGTAGTCTCAATAGCTTAGCCTCTTTGTTTACTCCTAATTAAATTCCAAGAAGGCAGGCCTCTCCATAGTCAAAGTTAACTTTATGGTCCAGAAGGACCATAAAGAAAAAGTTCAGGTTGTGGCCTTAGTACCTGGGAGAAAATGAATCAGTTGTGAATCCTCATATTCATCCTGCTGGCCAACGCTCGTGTCTCACAGGATGGAAACACACTGGGTTTTAACTGTCTGACAAGAGTTCCAGGCAGGAATTAGGAAACCATTATAAGAGGAGTTTGTGCCTTTTTAAGACTTTGTGGGAGGATGAAGAGGAAGTGTAGGAGCCCGGGTGAGAGAAGCAGGAGGACTAGCCGTGAGCAACTAGCGCCAACTTACCTACTTGTAGTCAGTCCTGGCACGGCTACACGTTCATGCGCGTGGCCCCGGGTAGGAAGACAGACTGGGACCTATGGCAGCCCCGAGGCCACACTCACCCTGACCGGGAGCAAGCTCACACTGGCCAGGTGTGGCCCCGCCCTGCTATGATGTCCAAGGCTGACATCACTCATGCATTATGAGGTTCTTCCCCTACTCCCAGGCCCTAGACAGTAATGAAAGTCATCTTGACTCAGTCAAAGCTGGCTCAGGAGCCGACACCTCTTACCATTCCAGGCAGTAATTTTTCTAGCGTAAGACCGGTAAGACCTGTGGTCTTTTGGAATGGTCTTTCTCCTACAAACATCCTACCTGTATAGCCAGTGTTGTTACCTTACCTGTTCGGCCCAGTGAGATGGCTGACATGGCTCTTTGGGGGAGCACGCTCTCATTCCTACTCCGTCCACCAGTACAATAAGCCACAGACATAAGTCAAGCCTGCTGCAGTAAGCATGCTTAGGAAACAATCAGGAAATGAGCATTCAGACGTAGTCTATATTAAAATGGAGCCAGACGATTCGAAAATGCCAGGGGTGTAAGAGACAAAAGCAAGCAGGGGATGGCCTTCTAGATTAAAGGAGAATCTAGGACAACATAACATACAGCCAACATGGAAAAAAAAGGTTCACTGTCACTAGCAGGGAAATGCCAATCAAACTCATGAGATACCACCTCACACCCCTGGCAAAGGCCCTTATCAGAAAGCCCAGAACCAAGTGTTGGCAAGGGTGTGCACAGTTAACTGTGCACACTGGGGGTGGGAACGAAGACTGATCCAGCCCCCATGGAAATCTGCATGGAAGTTACTCAAAGTATTAAAGATAGCTCTACCAAGGCATACCCTAGAAGCCAGGTATACCCCATGATCGCAAAATTCAATCTGGGAAAGAAATCTTTAAAAAACATGCTGGGGCCCTCCCTGGTGACACAGCAGGATAAAAGCACCGCACTATGACACTACCGCAGCTACAGCACGCAGCACGTGGTTGACCCCTGGCCAGGTGCAGGGATGCAGCAGACCTCTCCTGACCCGCCCGCTGCTCCCCTCAGCAGTGTACTTCGTCGATCTGCCTGTTCTGCTCCCCGCTCTGTCTCTGGTGAATCCTCTCACCCCCTGCACCTCTGGCCTGTACCCCAGTTCTGTATGTATAAATATTTTTAAAAATAAAAGCACATCATGTGCTGAAAAAAGTCAATAAATCCTTAGCAGTAAAAAGTAACAAATATTAGCAATATCCATAGCTATATCCATGAATAATTTTTTTTAAATTCAGTCAGCTTGCCAGGGACCCGGCCAGGTTGCCTTCTCTAAACCAGCAGCCCTTGCCAGCACCCTTCACGCAAACTGCTTTATTTTATTACTTGTGACATGATTATATGGATGTGTGTTTGTTTATTCCTCATAGGCTCCACGAACAATAAGCTTTCCCAGAGTAAGGACCTCATCTATCTTTTTCACAGCCTCCAAAAATATCTGGCACATAAAAACTATTGGGTAAAAACATATTGAAGGAAGGACTTATTTGAAAACACTGAAAATATGATTAAAATTATAAAAATGAAATGCACCATTTTGGAAATAAAACATCCCACATCCTGTAGAAAATGAAGTCATCTGTGTTAGCATTAGAAGCAATCAGTATCATCTCATATAAACCAGATGACGAGTCTGCTGGTCTAATTACAGCTTGATGGAATACAGGGCTCAAAGGGGTTTAAGTACTATCTCATGTTCAACCTTAGCTTCATAGATTGTAAGACATTGCCACCACAGCAAGATGCAGGGATCTGTATCTCTCTTACATGCAGACCCTTCTGGAACCAAACGCATCGGTTCTGGTGAGTGGATGCGTCTCTTGGGGCTTTGTTCAGGGTTTGAGTGCCCCCCCCCCATACACACCTACCAGAATAGGGAGGTCCATACAGATGCCTGCAGTCCATGGTCTGTGGTTTCAGAAAATGAAGGAACAGCAGGATTCTCATGTTCTTGGAGGTCACAGACAGCTGATTATCCTAGGCCATCCCGGAGCTTAGCACACAGAGCTCAGACATGCAGCAAGATGCGGGCTGACAAAAAAGGCACTTAAGAGAAAAGCTGAAGATAGAAAATCTCCAATTCCTTAATGTTCTGTAAGTTCTTCCACTATTTTCTCTGTGATGTTTCCTTGCTAAGATGGTGTAAGTGGTTCCTTGACCTTTTTCATATCTATCCTTTCTCTCAATCCATTGTCTATCTTTAATATTTTTCTAATGGCTATTTTTTTGTATGTCTCCTTTTTTCTATCATTCTTCTTGCTAAATTCCCTATTACTGAACCTACATTGTTCTTACTGATTTGTATGTAGGTGAACTCTTCATATGTTGAAATACATGTATCACCTGAGATTAATATTTGAAGCAGACTGAATTACTTCCTTCCATGGACTGTAATATCCCCTGCCTTCCCCAAGATTTATGAAAATTGTCTGCCTAGGCCATTTACAAAAAACAAGTTCTTCAGGAGTTTATATATTTCTGGTCAGATTGCTGATAGAAGGAGGTATCTTCTAACCCAATATATTCAAAATGTCATTTTAAAGTATAATCAACAATACAATCTTTAGGAAACTACTTCACATTCTTTTTTTAAAACGGATTTTCAAAATGTGTGTATTTCATTTTTATAGCACATCTTAATTACGCCTGCTTCATGTGTTCATGAGACACAAGTGCTAAATAGCTTCTCTACTGAATACTATAAGCTTAGAGGAGTGCTTCTCAATCCCAGCACCACTGATCATTTGAACCCAACAATTCTTTGCTGTGATGAGCTACCCTGTCCAGCATCTTTGACCTCCACCCACTAGATGTCAGTAGCAACCCATTCATCACCCCCCTTCAGGCCCTAGGACTCCCTCACCTTTACCCAGCCACCCCCACTCCACCCCCTTTGAGAACAAAAATGTTTCTATTCTTTGCCAAATGTTCCTTAGTGGGGGGGGGGGGTGGAAGTAGGACAAAACTGCCCCCAGTTGAGAATCAGAAATTGAGAAACAGTGGGGGAGAAGTGTTTGGAATGAATCTTAGGATCAACTAAGAAAAAGATTTCTCTTAGAAACTAACATTACTGGCCACTGAACCATCACAGTAGTATTTACCTTTATTTAAAATCTATTCAATTTCCATGTTCTAAGATCACAGAAAGGGGGGGAGAAGGGGTGACAGAAGGGGAGGTAGTTAGCAGGAGGAAAGAGGGGAGGAGAAGAAAGCAAGAAGGAGGCTGTTTTTTGTTTTTGTTTTTGTTTTTTTTTAGTACACCTCTGTACTTATTTTGGGCCCCTCCTCGCAAAAACCATACTGACCACCTTGAACCTACCTTGGTGACTGGCATCACCATGTCATGTTTTCAAAAATCCTGAGGCTCCTGTCCTTGAAAGTAAGCTGATGGATGCCTGGGTAGCAAGCTTTTCCCAGCAGTCTAGGGCTCAGTAGTTAGGAGCACCCACTGTTGCTCAATCCCAGAATGATTTCCTTTGAAGACCAGCATTTATTATCAGAATAAGCAGGAAACCCCAACATTTGAGTGAGCTAATCTCTTCCAACAACCCTTTGTCAACCACAATGTAATTGAGTAATGAAATCTCAGTTAACTGTGAAGTGTTCAAAGTATTTAGCATCTGTAGATACATATATAAAAGGCCAGGAAAGCAAAATTATAGCAGACATTTATTCACAGAGAAAGAAAAGGGGGAAAGCGGAAGGAACTAAATCAGGAACACATGTCAGAACACTTATATTCATTATTCTTATTCACTCAGATTTACATGCATCTAGATGATATTCAGAATGTTGACCTTCACATAATTGAAGATCATGAAGCATCAAGAGTAGCTGATTATTTTCACTCTACTTCACAGCTGTTGTTGTAAAGTTTCTTGACAACAAGAGACGAAAATGAAAAGCCTTCTGGTTGGCCCTTGGTTAGTGAGAACAATAACCTAACCGGTCGTTTTCACCCCCAAGCAGCCGGCTTTTTCAGGGCTTTACTCTAACTGGCATCACTCATCTGCAGATACTGAAAGTCTAGCTGATGGGCGTCTATACCGGGTGTTGGCAACAGCAGGCAACAACCTATTTCCACGTCATCTGTCCCTGGATAGGTGAGGTTACCGGTACAGGAGGAATCGTTCCAGGGGCTCGGGCAGATGCAGCTCGTGGACACTTTGATGACAAGCTCGGCCCAAGCACTTCCGGACACACAGGCGGCAGAGCTGGGAAAGAGGAGGCGGGCCTGAGGAGGAAGAGAGGTGGTGTGAACCACATGCTGGTGGGCTGGGGTGGGTGAAGGGGAGATCAAAGGACTGGAAGAGGCTGACTCTTTCCAGAAGCTTAAGACAAGCTGGATGGGTATGGGAACTCCAGAACGAGGCAGCAGATGCTAAACACACACAAGGGGTTGCAATTTGCCCTCTGGGCCAGGCACGCTTCTTTAAGTAGATCCCCATGAATGTGATACCAGGGATACTGCAGGAAGCAAGTGAGAAGTGAGGTGTGTGCTTTGGAGGAAATGCCCCATTCGTACATCAGTGGGTGTGATGTGCAGGCTGAGGAGAAAACAATGGCCACACTGAGCATGCAGGAGACAGCTGCAGAGTCAGGGCAACAGTGGGAGTGTGGCCGCAGGACAGTGGCCTGCAGGGTCGCAGATGCAGTGTTAGGAGGGCGCTGGGTTCCCGGGCCCCTGGCCCCAGTTGCTCATGAGGCTGTGCCGGGTAGGTTCCCCCCGACACCTGGAGGGGCCTCCATGCTCACAAGGGTCCCATCAGACCCCGTCAGGCCCTGAATGAGCTCTGGCTGCCATACTGGCTATACAGGGGCATTTGCAATGTCCCGGCATTTCCTCACCTGACTATCTCAATAAAGAACTTTTCAAACAGACCTATGTAATCACCAAACTACACAGATTTCCTTTTTAAGAAACTCCTACTGTAACAGCATCCGGAAGTGGTGACTGCAGCCCGATAATACCTGCATCGACATCACCGGACACACCTGGTGACAGAAAGCTATCTGGAGGAACAAATGATCACCTTCGTTCGGGTCCTGGGAAATCAGAACAGAAGGCTTCTCTACCTGCCGCCCAAGTAAAGTTCCTTGACAAAACAGTAAAGCAACAGCTGTCCGGAGTGCCTAGTGTGAACTCTGACATAGCTGGTGCTCTCCTTCTAGAATAGCAGCTGTATTTAGGAAGATGGAGGACACAAGAAGGTGCCTATCAGAAATACAGATCCTGGGCCTGGAGACATTTGTGAGAGACAAGAAGAACTGTCACTTTTATAAGCCATGTTTGCAGCTCATAGTTAGAAAGTACCTGGTATTTCTAAATGGGGAGTGGGGAAGGAAGCTCATCATTCTTCCAGTGGAGACTGAAATAAAAGAACACTCGCTCATGGCATGGGCTTCAGGAATAATCTAGGCCAATGGCATTGCAAGTGAGGCCTCCGACCAGCCATGTCTGCAGCTTTGGAAGCCAGTGGGCGTACAGTCTGGGGCTCCACCCAGAGCTCCTGAAGCTGTCTACGTCTTAAGCAGCTCCCTGGGTGACTAGTCCACGTTACAGCTTAGGCAGCGCCGATCTGGCTGCCAGACCTATGTCAACCGAGCATTCCATCAGGAAGGTCATCTTCCAGTGGGAACGGTAAAGGGCAAGAACTCCTCGCCCCCTAGAAACCGGGTCAGGAGATTCCAAATGGAGGCATCGTAACACTAAGGGTGCACAATTGAAGTCGGACACTTGGCGGGAACCCTAGCTCTCCTTGGTAGCCATGTGAGTTTCTACAAGCCAATTTCTTTGTGCTTCTCTTGACTCACTTGCAGCTGCGAGAGTACCAGTTACCATGAAATTTAAAGCTTTAAGGACTTAGTGAGATTAATCTAGGTCTTGCATTTGGCTCAGTGCCTGACACAGGCCAAGTTAAACAGCCATTATTGGCTTCAAATTCTCCCAAGTATACAAGTGGCCAATATAAGCTCAGGTACTGTTCTCTTCTGGCATCTGCAGTTGCATTGGCCCCCAGTGGGCATGTAAGTGAGGCAGGAGACACGCAGACACACCTCCATCTGGAGAACAGGTCAATGGCATTGCCATTCTCATTTCTGGGTGGTGAAATGCATACTGTGCCCACCCTAGTGTCTCTCCAACCATCACTGATGGCCCCTAATTGTCTCCCAAGCATACAAAGCAGACTCTTAGTCGGCCCACGTGTGCACTCCTGGCAGGAAAGACACAGCAACTCAACCTTTGCATGGTAGAGACAGTTCTCTGACCAGTTTCTTGCTGGGGGAAATACAGAGCGACACAGCAGCGCGTGTAAATGCCCTTGGCTTATAAGTGAACCTGCAGAGCATTTTAACACCCCATCTCAGTGACGATGCCACAACGTTGCCCCCAATCACACGAGAAGGCACAAGGTCAGGCGGCCCCGGGGAGAAACAAGAAGGCAGGCACGTCTGGAAGCCATACGCAGCTGGCCGTCCTCACCTTCTCGGAGTAAGAGCGCCTGCTCCACGCTGCTCTTGGGCGCCGCCACCTCAAGCGCACTTTTGCCCTGAGCATTCCGGCATGTCAGGCTGGCCCCATAGTCGGCTAGCAGGTGGATGACTTCCACGCTGGACTGGCGGGCGGCGGCATGGAGGGGGGTGTCCAGCCATTGACCTTGATCAACACTGGCTCCTGAACAAAGCAGAGGGCCATGACCCAACAGGAGATCAATGCAAAAGGCCGTGAGCCCGAAATACAGCAGCTACAGGTACTGGCGTGTCAAGGCATATTCGACGCAGCCTTGAAAACATGTGAACCTCAGTAAGACTTTCTTAGACTGTTTCAAAAATTCTGATAAGAAAAGATGAATCCAGCTGTGGACACTTTAAATACAAGCTTTCTTTCCTATAAGGCACAAAAATATGTGCAGCGACTCGTATACCATATTTTGGTTTTCGACAAAAGGAAAAAGCTAAGTTTATTTGGTATTCCTATTATTTGGGGTTCAAAAACAAGTCTGCTGAACTGCTGGAGGCAGTAAATGATGGAGATAAGAAAGACCAAAAAGATCAGGGAGATTAAAGTTCTTGGGTAAAAGCTCTCACTACCATCGCCACCTTCACGGCCGTGCTAAGTTTGGGAGTCTTTAACCAAACAGTAGTTTCAAGATATCTGGCTGTGGCTTGGAGTCTCAGTTTCTTTATGTGCCTTTTAGAATAAAAAAAAAATGACTAAGAAACTTTGCAGGATTGTCCTCAACTAAGTTTGGCAGCTGCGTGTTGTTTTTATCACCCATCATCTTCCTAGGAAGCACACTGAGCTCTGACTCCAGGGAACCACACCCTGGGATGGCCAGCTCACGCCTTTCATTGCTGGAATCTAGGACTAAGTCAAGCAGTGCGTTGTATTCTCTTGGCCACTAGGGTTGGTTCAGAGATGGGCATGTGACTCAAAAAGGGTCAGTGAAATTGCATGTTTTCCTCTTAGAACTTAAGGGAAAAAAGACTCTCGCTCTCTCTCAAGAACACCAAGGAGAACCATAATGCGTAAATGGAGCCAGCATCAAAGGAAATTGAACTAAAAAACACATACACTTATTTCTCAAGAGAAGTTCTGTTTTAAACAATTGTCAACTGCTGAAAATCAGCAAAGTTAATGGATTCTTCTCATGAAAAGAGTTCTGGAAGTTACCTAATTCTAGAAGTTTCTTCACACAGTCTACTCTCTGGTAGGTGCAGGCCACATACAGTGGAGTTCCAAGCTGAGGCACCTCTTGGTCGATGTTAACATTATTCGCCAGCAGAATCTCCATGCATTCTCTATGGCCTGGGGGAACAGAAGACAGCCTCACTCACATGGGGGAAACACGGACTGTTCCAGAGCTACAGGACTGCCTCTCTGAAATGGACTTCTAATAGCCTAGGTTGGGGGGGATAGAAATTATTTTTGGAAATCTTAGGTATAAATCCCCAAAACAAAATCACTAAAGACAGAGGGTCCCCATGCTTCTTTCACCACACCCCTCTTTGCAGCTTCTGAGGTACTGCCAGCTATGCGCAGGACTCCACAGGCATAGCTGAAATCACTTACTTACTAGCATGAAGCTACTAGACTAGATATGGAAGCTACTAGGCCCAGAGAGGTAAGTGACTCACCTTAGCATCACCCCAAAAAGCCAGGGCTCCAATCCCAGGCCTAGACCTGATCCCTCCCCACCACAAATCTCTGGTTCCTTCTTTACCCATGCATACAACATTGGCTGTAAAACCTACTTATTTTGGTTAACCTGGAAGATACCTATGAGAATTAATACAAAGCCTCAAGTATAGAACATACTTATACACCTTTCAGATTCAGGGGTTACTAAGAACTGTGCAAGCAAGCATACACCTTACACAGGGTGCCCGAGGAATAGGAATAGAAGCCTTGATGAATCCTCCATACATGAAAGATTGGTTCAGAAGCAAATGTCAATACCTCAGGAGAGGTATTGACAGGCACTGTAAAGAGTTTGTTCACTTTGAAGATTTAAGTGTCTCCTTTAAAATCTTATCATTGCTGATTAATTTAACCAAACCTTTTCTTTATAGATAACATAAAAGTAAACTTCATCTCCAACCTGCTGGATTTATCACAAATTTTGGATTAAGTATCAATGTGCATTAAAATGTACAAATAAGGATTCTGTAAGGTCAAAGTATTTGTTCACAGAAGTAAATACTATGCTTGGATTATTGATTCAAATGGACCCAACTTACTCAGACAGGTTTCAAGCTGTAAGAATCCAGAAATGATATCTAATCTGTACCCTGGCAGATTAGATAGGGTGTCAATAAACATTTAATAAGTCCTGCCTTGTTTTTTTTTCCAGAAGAAGAAACTGAGTGAGTTAAATTAAGTATTCTTCGGTTAAAATAAGTGAATATTAAAAGTCAAAGACTAAAATTAACATAACAGTATCTAAAATGAATGAATCTGTTAATTGAGCCTATGGATGCTGGTAGCTAAAATGTTTTTATGATAGAGAAAAATATGTATAGACACGTGAATTCATGTGTCTATGCCAGCAATAATAACCATCCAAGCACTGCAGAATTACTTCCATAATTCAAACCAATTCCCCAAGTTATCCATTTTCACTGCCTGGATGGAAATACAAATAGATTACCCAAAATTTAAAGAACTTACTTGCAATTTAGGAAATGACCAACATCCGTAATTCCTCAATGAGAGTTTATTAAATCTGTATAGGAAATCAAAAGCACTGATACATTGAGATCTGGGTCTTTTGTGTCATTTGAAGTCACCCACTATTGAAACAATACCAAGCAACCTGCTGACTGGCCCGGGGCCAATCTTTCACGATTGCCTGGGAAGTGGAGCCTTCATCTCCAATTAGCCCAGCAAGTCACTGTCCTAGAGGGCTGGAACCTGCCACTGTGCTTCTGATCTCACCATGAACAGTGACTCACTGCTGGGACACAGATGTTGCTCTTTGGATGTGAGCTTTACAGATGACCTTGACCTTCCCATGCATATAGTTTCAAAATCCCTCCAAGATATTCCTTTCCCTTGTTTGAAAAGTAACTCAGAACGCTGAACTAAGCTTTCCACTATGGGGTTTTAAAGTTGCAAGGTTTTCTCAATAACCATGGACCTCGAAGTCATCAACTCACTTAGAGTCATTATGTTTAATTTTCCATCATAGATACTAGCAGCTTGGTTCTCAGATACTTCCATCCCGTATTATGTTAGCAGCTAGTATTTGACCGGCTTTGGGGGTGCACTGTTCTTTTCTAGTAAGGACAAAAACATAAAGACCTCATCCATAGTCATCAAACACAAGCAAAGAAGTGGGACCCCTGCAGAAAGGCCTGTGGAGAGACTCCCCAGGAAATGGGACTGGTGAGAAGCAGCTGTTCCATGCCCCTCTTCCCCCCACCCCACCTCCAACCCTGGGTATTCGGAATGAATGCTGCAGGATCTGGAAGCCACACAGGCTGCAGGTGAAAGTCTGGGTGGTGCTTCCATGGTGACACAGCACCACTGATGGTGCAGGCCGGCCCGGCGGGAGCCCACAGGTGCTTCACAAGCAATGCAGTGGCTGGCTCACCTCTCTTCACCGCCTCATGGATGGGTGAGTTCAGGTGTGCCTGCGGCTGGGCCTTGGCGCCAAACCCCAGCAGCAGGTTGACACAGGCGGCGCTCCCGCTTCGGCAAGCATTAAAGAGGGGTGTGGCTCCGTGAACCGTCACGCCATTGACCTGATGATGAGAACGAGAGTGCAAAGATGTGCTTTTTCTCCACCACTGTCTCCAAGTGTGTTCCTCGGTGGCTGCCTGGAGAAATCTCCCATGGGGGCAACTAGTCAGGGACTCCCAGGGCACTATGGTATTATGCTTTTTAGACACCAGTCGCCTACCAACTCTTACCAATAAATGCGATCACAAATATAAATATCACAAGTGGGGTAAAATGGGACAAAGCCTGTAAAATGTATTCAGGGGTATTCCAGACTCGTAGGCATCTCCGGAAGGTCAAGAAGCGATCCTGGATGGGGGTCAGGAACACGGCCTGAGGAATCGTGAGCTTGGGTTCCAATCTCAGCTGCCCTTTCATCTGTTTAGAGACCCTGGTCAGAATACTAACATTCTCTGCCTGTATTTCCTTATGTGTAAATAGGATCATAAAGAATCGACTTCGTGAGGTCACTGGGCAGACGGAGTGAGTTACTCTATGCCTGACACACAGAACACTGCCTGGAACTCTGGAGCAGGGAACAAACATTGGCAGCAACAATTTCCATTTTCCATGAATACAGAATGGGATCCTCTCCCTCCCCAGTCATGGACAAACCTGACAGGAATCACAAGTGCTAGAGAACCAATTAGCCTAAGGTCCCAACATGTGCCATTGTAAAAAGTCTCCCCAACAATTCCCCACAGTTCTGTCCTTGCCACGAAATCTTCACTATAGTTTACTATCATCCATATGAAAATGCCCATGCCAGCACTGACTCCTGAAGAGACCATGAACTCGCCAAAGGCATGCCCAAAATAGCCAGCAATGGATGACTCAGTGCCTTTGGAGGACGCGAGGCGTGTGTGAGAACCAGCGCAGTGGAGAGGCATCTGAGGATGCGCAGCAGACTAGAAAGAACCAGCAGGCCCAGGCTTCCTGGTGGCTGATGTGCAGGACAATGAGGATTCAATGTGAAATCACTGGGCCTGGGCAACTCTGGGTATGGGCTTGTGACAATCAGGCCCTGCGCATCCTTGTTTCAAGACCAAAGGTGGCATTTCTCCCTCGTGCCAGGAGAGCCCCATTGAATTGTAAAGTTAAAGCTGAGCTGTTGGGTTGGCTGAGACACGTCAGCGGAAATGTGTCCACACGCACATCTCAGGCAGTGCTCACCCACAGACGCAGCTCACTGAAAACCACTTGGCGGAGATGGTTTGCTTGTGCGCTTCTCCCTGTGAGTTTCTCCCTCAGATCAGTATTTGTTAAGCACCTATTAGGTGCCAACGTTCTGGAAAAGAAGGCAAGTAAAATAATCGCCTCTCCTTGAGTTGGCTGAACTCTCTCAGGGAAGACAAACACAAAAGAGATCATTTTGATACAATAATCAATACCTTGGATCACAGTGGAGAGCACAGACTTGAAAAATATTCAGGAAATAAAATGAGGGGATGTTGAGATTAATTAAGTGGGGAATTGGAAGAAACGGGCTGACTCTCAGGAAGACACTCTGCCTGGTCTCCGAGTCTGGGCATCCAAAAGGAGGACACAGGCCTAAAGGGAGGACACGAGGAACATGACTGCATTGTGTTTGAGAGACCCTATTGACTATTGACTGACCAACTTTCAATTACTCCTTCTCTCACTCTGACTCAAATTATGTAATATTTACTGACTGCTTCCTCACAAGATTGCCAAAGACCAGGGACCATGCTCTATCGCTGTCTTTGTCCCCCACAAAGCCAGTCTGAGGTGGTGCAGCACTTACTCCTCCCTCAGCCTACGCTGTTCAACATGGCTGCCAGCCATCTGCAGCTGGCTCCAGTCACCTGCTTGAGGGAATGGCCCTTGCCCGGCCCTGACTCATCACTACACATGGGAAACTAAGTGGTAGCTTCCAGCAGCGCTACCTGATGGAAATGGTCCACCAGGATCACATCAGGAAAATCATTCTACCCAAGATTTTCATATTCAGTTCTACCTTGTAAGAACCCAACTGCCATACCAGAACAAAAAAAAAAAAAAAACTTCATTAAACTCTTAAAAACACTGCAAGTCATGAGTCAAAGACAAGAACTGAGTTGGGGGGAAAAAGCACAAAAGCAACACCTAGCAATTAAAGATGTTTAGTTGTAATTTTATAGTTCTTTTCTGATAGCTGTATGACATATAGCACCTCCATCACTCTTTGATAAGAGGCCAGAATTTAAGGACAAGATAAAGATAATGTTGTAATTTTCTCAAAATGTATTATTCATTAAAAGCTACTCTAGCCTGGTAATTTTGCTCAATAGAAATTACTGGTTTACCGTGTTGAATTAAGAGTGTATTTTAAATGTCATTCATTTACGATGTGCTCTTTTTAAAGTTTTTCTATCAATTTTCCAAGGTCGGTTTTCAGAGCACTCTAATTCAAGTTGTTAAAACAGGATAACAGCCCCCAAGTAGTGCTGCTATGCTAAGTCCCTTGTCCCCAAACCGAGACTTAGCCTAACTCCAGCTCCCATTCTCCCAGAAACGGGAAGTTCAGCCAACCAGGCAGGAGCGACCTATCAGGGAGGCCGCTACCAGCAGCTCTGCCCTTGCCCTCAAGGACAGTGACCTTGCAGGAACCAACCGCATTTCTGTCTGGTATCACTTCCTACTTCCTGCTCCCTAGAAAAGTCTTCCAGCTGCTGGGTGCTGTTGCCTATCAGCTAGACCGGATGCTGCTCACTCCACAAACTGTTGAATAAAGCAAATCTGTAAACTTCGCTACCGGGCTGACATTTCTCTAACAAAGTCTCCTTTCTGAAGCCAGCATCACGTTGGTGTGGGGCTTCAATTTTTAGAAGCTAGCCACTTTTTACAACTGCATTCCTTTCTAGAGGGGAGCACTGGCTGGCAACATGGCCTGTGATTCAGAGACAGGGCCACACCTCTTCAGAGTGTGCCCCCCACACCCACCACCAGCACACACAGCCTCCTCTTTGCAGACGTCGGCAGTGGCACGTGGGCAGCCAGGCCGTGGGTAGGGCAGCACTCACATGGGCACCGTTTTCCAGCAAAGCTTTTGCACAGGCCACGTGACCTCCGAGGCATGCTTCATGGAGAGAGGAGACCCGATTGATTGTCACGAGGTTCACATTCACGCCCTACAATTTGGAGACAATGGGGTTAGCAAATGGGAATGATGGACAAAAGGAACTCACTGCTTCCTGCTAAAGGCTGGAGTACATGAATCCCAAACCCCTACCTGCGTGCCTTCTCCTCCCAGATGCCTCTGGTGCTGACTGCACCCCTGCTGTGGCTGAACACCGGGGCGCCTCTGTTGCCTGTCCCTCCAGCTGAGGGCCCCTCTCTGCCGCCCTGGGCCTGTTCCTTTCCATGTCCCGAATATGAGGTCGCTATTCTAAAGCTGTCCTAAATATTTCAAACTGTGTATCCAACATAATCAGAAAAGTCTTTCCCTGTTCTTTTCCCATATAGGATTTCAAGAAAATAAGAAACAGACTAGTCCACAAGATGGCAGCAACGTACTAGGAAAAAATTTGATCAGTGCAAACACAGAATCCCAGGAATGATGGAAATGCCCAAAGGGGTAGGCCTGAAGATGACCCGAAGGGGTCACCTTGGCAGTGATGAGAAAGTTCACATCACTACTAACACTTGAGGCACTCCAGCTGTCAGTCACGGCCAGCGTGACCCCTGGGAGCTTCTGCTCCTTAGTTCAAGTCTCACTCAAGCGCACACCACCTTAAGGCGAAATAAAGCCAAAAAGTAGGACTTGACATTTTCAGCTAGCATGCGGTGACGACTGGGGGTACAGTAAGCAAAGACTGGAGTTCTCGCTCAAGAAAGCTCCTGCTACATTTGGCAGCTGCAGAAACCGACACCTAGGAAGCCACTCAGACACAAAGACGCCTGATATAATGTGGCCTGGGACTGGATTCTGGAAGACAGAAAGGACATCAGTGGCAACACTGCTGAAAGCCCAGCAGTGTGTAGTTTAGTGAGTGTGTAGTAGCTGAGCTAGCTTATTTCCGGCGGTGTCAAACATTAACATAAGGGGGTCAGGCGAGTCAAAAGTGCTGCAGGCTCTGCAACTCTTTAATATTTCCGGAGTAAGTTTGTTAAAACATTTAAGTTTATAAAAATAAGGAGGTGCTGGCCCTCCCTGGTGGCGCAGCGGGTTAAAGCACAGCACTGAGAAGCTTGAGCCACTTCCGCATGAGTTCGATCCCCGCCTGCCCCGGAAGAGATCCACATGGCGTGGCAGACCTCTCCTGACCCGCCCGCTGCTCCCCTCAGCAGTGTACTTCATCGATCTATCTGTTCTGCTCCCCGCTCTGTCTCTGGTGAATCCTCTCACCCTCCACCCCAGTTCTATATGAATAAATAAATAAATCTAAAAAAAAAAAAGATTGTTTTAAAAAATAAATAAAAATAAGGAGGTGGGAGGTCTGGAGAGAAGAGGTGGACACAAGACTCTGTACTGTGTACTTTTTGTATCACTGACTTGTGAACATATTACATATAAAAAATACTCTAATCACCTCAAATGTTAAGTACCGAAAATTTAAGTACCAAGCAAAAAACTACCAGATCTGGAGCCCATTTGATCTTTGCCTCTACTTTCTTCAGCTGTGACACAATTTGGAAAGGAGACAGCAAAAAAAAAAAAAAAAAAAAAAACCACACACACAGAGCGGTGAGTCAAGTTGCTCCAATTCCAAATAGTGAAAAGGTGAGGTGTGGTGGCAGGTAGGGCGTGGAAAGGACATAGGACTCATCGCTCTGTGTCCATGGTGCCCGAAGGCAACTGAGCAAATGACCTGTGCGTGCTTTCTTTCATTCACTAGAAAAATGCTAACGAAGCCACTCTTTACTGTTCAAGCCAGAAAACCAGCCAGCTCCCCAAGAAAGGACAGGTGGCAGGAAGAAATACTCTAGAGGCCTAGAAAGGCCCGGGTGGGGCCTGACAGGCAAGCCCTCAGTTACAGCTGGAGCTGGTAAGAGTGAGGCCTGACTATGGCAGAAGCACAAAGGAGTTTCCCATTTACTTACTTGAGCAATTAAAGTTTTTAGAGCCAGTAAGCGTCCCTGGGCCGCAGCCTCATGAAGCGGGGATCGGTCCGCCCAACAGTCTGAAATGCAAACCGAGCTCAGTGTCAAGGTCTGGAATCTGCTTCTGCAGTCTGTTCACATGCCCACCCACCATGACAGGAGGTTTGGGGAGTTGGGGCACAGCATCAAGCTCTCTGCTTTGCCCCTGGCAGAGTGAGAGGTCTCTGAGTGCCCAGCCTATTACTCTGAGGGGGGTATGTGGAGAGGAAGCATAACCCATTCCCAGCACAAAGGGGAAGGGGAGCAGGGAAGGGCCCTTTCAGTCACCACAGACTCAGTTCAATTAAGCACTGGTCAGTGCCTAACCTGGCAGCTCTAAATAAGGCATGATGAAGGCAAAACTGGTCCGTGAGCTTGCCCACTTTCATGGCTCCCCTCCGTGCCTCTCTGCTCACCTCCACCTAAGAGCCCACAGAGTTTTGTTCTGAAGCCCCACGGCGTGGTCGTTTCGCTTTGGTAGTGAAGCGTATCTATTATCATGGCGCAGAAGGTTGTTTGAAAAGTGACGTAATCCTCCAAAACTCATCGCTTGTGAGCGATGGCCTAGCCAGGAGCCAGTGGAGCCCCACGGCTTTCTCTGCCGAAACGAGCCAGTCTCTGGATACACCTGAGCGCCCTCTAAGATGGGGGTGCAGAGCCCCAGTGTTGGGCCATGCTCTGGCTTCTGCAGGTCACTAAAACACACAGGTGGTGGTAGGCCCTCAAGCCATTTGTGATTAGTAAGCACACAAGGCAGGTCAGGGCTCTCTGGCAGCCTCTGAAATGGAAACTTCTTCTCAGTAAACAAGACTTACCAGCTTAAGTGGACATTTGAAAGGTTACCCTCTAGCAAACGAGCCAAAGGGCAATCATTGGTTTGGAAGAAAACCTGCTCCAGTTTGTAACTGTGGGCGATTCTTCGATCGTAACTGTGCTCTTCCGACACTGCAGTCAGGACTGGCGTTTCAAATTTGCCACACCTGCACCTGGGCCGGACGGGCATGGCCAAAGAGTTAAGTGTGGGGACATGAAATAGCCCAGACCCTTAAGGAGAGCCGGACTTCCTCAATGGATGAGACTCACGACCAGAGACATTCCCATAAACCCCATGAACCTCTTCTTACCTTGAAACTCAAATTGTGTCTTCTCTGGTCCTCTGAGTTATGAAAAAGAGGGAAGCTAAAATGGACAGTGTATTGTTGGCTTCAGATTGGAACAATTAAATGTATATGTCATAGTACTTGCCTGGGAAACCCAAATCAGGGCTCCTTGGAGAAATCATGCATTTCAGGGGTCTGGTTCAGGAAGAACATGACATAGGGCTTAGACATCTTGCCAGAAAAGAGTGCTCAATGAACAATGCCGAAAAGACACAGAAACTGGCCTGAAGAGGCTTCACCAAATATGAGAGAATTTGTGCATGAAAGTAAATAATGGTAGTTAAGAGATATTATATCCTGTCAAAGTGAGACCCTCAGGGCCCTCCCTGGTGACACATCAGGTTGGAGCGTGGCGCTACGAAGCTAGCCACAGCTGCTTTAACACAACTTTGATCCCAGCCCCAGAGGTGACCCACATGGCGTGGCAGACCTCTCCTCTCTCGCCCACTGCTCCCCTCAGCAGGGTGCTTCGTCCATCTGCTTGTTCTGCTCCTTACTCTATGGTGAATCCTCTCACCACCCCTGCACCTCTGGCCCGTACCCCAGTTCTGTATACATAAATAAATCTTTTTTTAAAATAAATAAAATGGGATCCTTATGTCCTCACTGATAAAACAAATCTATAAATAGCGAGAACACTCTTTCCCAGAGAATGCCAACTGATAAATGAAGAAGAAATAGAATTTATATCAAATTATTTCCCCACCAAATAATTACTAACTACCAAGGAAATGGGGGTAATTCTTTTTTTTGAAATGGGGGTAATTTTACAGCAGAACACAACTGTTCTTCCCCACCTTCCCCAAGAGATCAAAGTTAACTTCAGGAGCGATGAACAGACTGTGCCATGGGATGGAACACAACGAGCAACACCATGTACTCTTGAGTGAGCAGGATGAGAACACAGCTTCTGGGCGATTCCTGCTCAGAAGGCAGAGCCCAGATCTCCTGCTCAGAAGGCAGAGCCCAGATCGCATCAGGACAGCGTGAACCCACTGAGATGGAGGTACATTCTTCTGGAACCCATTCAAGGAGGGGCTAAGGAACTGGTCCAGCTTGAGGGAGGGTGAGGCATCTAAGGTGACTGGGGTGGAGCCTCTGGCTACCAAGCACATTGTCGTTAGCACAGCTGCGTAAACACCAAGGGGGTTTCTGGGTGGAGAGAACTAGGAATGTTGGTACTGTTCGTATCGGTTTTTGAACGTCTGTCATTATTTGAACTTAGCTCCCAGATACAAACGAGCACATACAGAGGCAACTGCAGCTCCTGACCCGAGTGTGTAAGGAAAAGAGATACCAGTTTTAACACAAAAAGGGATCGTTTGTATTTCCACTTGTTCCTGGATCAATTAGAAGTTGATGAGTGGAGTCATTTTAAATCTCTTCAGTATTTATGATTTGCATGAAGTGGAATCCGCCACTTATCAGCCCTGGTTTTCTTTGAGAACATCTCCATCTCGCTCGCTACGAAGTGAGCATCAGACACATGGTCCTGTGGCCTCATCGCTCTTGAAAATGGACCTCGGCGCTAGGGCTGCAGGGACCGTGTGTCCCCACGGCTGAGCCATGGAGGGCAGCTCAGCACCTGACCACCGCAGCGGCAAACCCAGTTGTGGCTTTGTTAGTCTTTTGTTCTAACGACAGCCAGGTACCCCCAGTCACCTCGAGGAATGAGAGGTAGTTGATTGGAACACAAGAGCAAGATTTAAGTGGCAACTCCTCATAATTAACTTGGAATAGCAGCAGAAATGGCCGTATCTTTTCTCAAGCCTGCCCCCGAAGGGTGCTGGTGTCTCCCTTTCTCCAGGCAGCAGAGACCTTAACCTCCTCTTCATCCGGTTTCTGGTCACTCACCAATCCCGCAACACCCTCCCCATCCACACAGCCTGGCCAGGCCCCACAAACATCATGCAGGTCCAAGGAGGTGAGACACAAAAGAGCACGTGCTATGACTCTACTGGTAGAAAGTACAAGGAAGCTGCACTCACCTTGGGAGTTAGAAGTCGCAAAAGGGCTGGGGCTGATGGGAGGGAGGCACCATGGGCACAGTGCTGACAGAACGCAGTTTCGCGTTCCTGGGAGCTGGGGCCTGAGTGAGCTTGCTTTGTGAAACTGCCCGTTTGCCTAGCATTTGTGCACTGGTCTAGATTTATGTCGTCCACACAGGGCTGCGTCTGGCCTCCAAGCAGCTGGAGGCAGATCGGTGTGTGCTGCACACAGGTCCCCACATTCCTTCTCCAGCTGCCAGCTCTAGGAAGTGGGAGGAAGCTGGAGTGCAGGGGAGATGTCGCCTTGCTTGCTGGAAGAGGCCAGTCCAGCCTTGGTCTTGACCGCAGATCTCCAGTTCTGGCGGCCTGCATCTGCGCCACGACTCAATGCTAGGCCCCTAGCCCTGGCACCGGCATTTGGCCGCTTCGCCTAAGGTCCCGCATCAATACAGCATCCTGTGACACCTCCACTCCCACGCCATGCCGCTGAGGTCTCGGCAAGTTGCTGCGGCTACTTCCAATCCACCAGAAAGGGGCCACGGTGGGTCGTCCCGGGCCTCTCCCTCACCACGCATTGCTTTGCAATTCTTTCCTGTATGAGTAGTGCAGGAGCAGCTCAGGAAGCTGCCGGCTGGGCAGACTCCCAGCAGGACAGAAAATCCAGGCTCCCCTCCTTCCAGGCGCCCTTGCATGGAGCCCAATCCCTTGGCTCTCACGACAGGAGGCGAGGGAAGCACCTCATCTCTTGAAGTGGAGCGCCCCCACATGCACGACCAGCCCTCAGCCCCACACGACGTCTCGCTTCTAGATGGCAGCACAAATGGGACTGAAATCCAAGTCTGGGAAGCTTCAGAACTCATCCAGTTTGGGTTGGAAGAGTGAGGGGATCTGAAACCTGCCTATCCAGGTAGATTTCCTCAGGTGGCAGCTCTACGCCCCTCACCTCCAGGCCCAGCATGAGAGAGGTACCTTCTGTGTCGAAATCCTTTGTTTCCCAACTGGACGGAAGCCACTCTCAGGGATGTGACTTTCCTGTCACAGCTTGCAGCCCTTGCTTCAAAGGACCTTGAGGGCTTTTCACAGACCTTTCCACAGACCCCACCAGGGTGGGCTTGTGACTTAGATCCTCCTTGCCTGGAGGTCTCTCTCTCTTCCCATTGTTGTTTTGCAAATTTGAGCTAATTGTGAGAAATGAGGGCTAAAAGTTATCTGGCAGCCAGGGACTTTTTCCATTCCTTTCAGGAAATATGCAACTGAGCTCTCCAAATAAACGAATGCTTAAGTAGGACTCCCTAGTTCTCTTGGAAGGCAGTTTATTTTTAGTTATTTGGCAGACTGCCTGTGTCACAGGGCTGCAAGCACAGTATGGAGATATTTACTCTATAAATATGTCTACTGGCTCCTGATGAGGTGGACAGAAAGCGTTCCAGTCCTTTCTCATTCCCCCTATAACTTTTTCTCAGAGTGCCATTCATATTTCCAGTTTTCGAGCTCTTTGAATAACAATTTCATAACAACTTCGAAAATCAGATTTCGATAACAAAACTGATTCAGATGGAATAAAGCTGCCTGAGTTCTAAGTATTCAAGATAAAAATTCTATTTTTTTAAATTAGCAATTACTACCCTTCCTGAATCTACTAAGTGTTTGATAATACAGGTTTAAAAAAATAATGAACTGCTTATGATCTCTAGCATACATAATGTATTCAAGTTCCCCAAGTCATATGAAGCAGTACCTTCTGCCGCAAAAAAGAAATTTCAGTTTTGAACTCAAGTACAGGCAAGAGCCTACTACTACAAATGATATTTTAAGGAAAGTAAAGGTAACTGGGCAGAACCCCAGGACAGCCAGCCAGTCCTGAGTCATCTGAAAGACAAGAATAACAGTGTGTTAAAATACACGCGCTGCAGGATGCTCAGGCCCAGTCTGGAGATGGACAGGCAGCTCCTTAGTGTGTTAGGAGGCTCCTGTGACTCCATAGAAGCAGCAGAGCTGGGGCACGGGCGGAGTCGGGAGGGGGCTGACAGAAGGCAGGGTGGGTCCTCCTGCAGAGGGCGGGCTGGCTGGCCAGCGTGGGAACACCAGCAGGCACTTGTGTTACGTAACAGGCAGAGGAAGCTCGTGCCAAGGCTTGAGGAGACAACCAGCCACGCTGAAGGAGAGTACAGGCTCAGTAGAGGACTGGGCAAGAAGGGGCCAAAGACAGGAAAATCCTGTCCAAGGGGCAGGGCAGGAAGGGCAAGGAGGATGAGTCTGCAGAGGTGTGGCCACAAAAGCAAGTCGGTCCTTTGATTTCACAGCCATGACGACAACTGATTTTAAGTGCAGCAACTAGAACAGAACTGCTTTGCTAGTTAACTACACGTAACTTAAACAGCCATTTCAAAAAAGGTCGCATTCCTCTCTGCAATTGTAAAATCCTGCAAATTCAGAAAACCAAGTTTTTCCAAGTTTGATACAAACTCCTTTGGCAGCAAAACAAGCTTAGGGTTCAGGTTTATCAACGCACTATTTTTATTTGTAGTTTCCCTTAATGTGAGTATCTGCACTTCAGTTCCGAAATATCTAACCGCTCGGGGAGGGGAGGCGCGCTGCATGGCCGTCTACATAAGCTGGCGCGTCTGGCCCAGGCTGCGGATAATAGCTCCTCAGCCTGTTCCTGCTTTATTGCCACCAAATCTGATGACAGTCATGGTGCTCAGCAGAGCTTCAACGCAGGCTAACTTAGCGAAGGTCGCAAATCATACACCATGTCCCACTACAGACACCCCTACGAGGCTGCACACAGAATCCAGTCATCCCCCAGGTGCCCTAGATACTGGTCAGCCAAGGACCGATGACAGCTCCCAACTTGAAGATACAGATATATTCTAAACAAGATATATCAAAAAGCCTGAAAAATCAAAACTATTAACAGTCAACCAATGTTCAACTCAAATCTTTGTGGTTCAGTAGCTTAAACCACAAAGACATATGGGACAATGTCTCCAGGATATGAAATATCAAAACAAAAAAGGCCCAAAGACATAGCGCCAAAACAAAATAAGGCTACTTGATGAGGTGTGGTGCCAGCCGCAGGTCCCGAGAGCTGGAGCTGGCAGCCAGTGGCGCTCAGCTCTGCCCTGGCTGTTTTAAACTGCCATGCCCTCATTTTTTTTTTTTAATATTTATTTATTTGTGCATACAGAGCTGGGGTACAGACCAGAGGCTCAGGGGCGGCGAGAGGCTTCACCAGAGACAGAGTGGGGAGCAGAACAGGCAGATGGACGAAGTACACTGCTGAGGGGAGCAGCGGGCGGGTCAGGAGAGGTCTGCCACGCCATGTGGTCACCTCCGGGGCAGGCGGGAATTGAACTCATGCGGAAGTGGCTTTAGCTTCTCAGTGCAGCGCTTTAACCCGCTGCGCCACCAGGGAGGGCCCCATGCCCTCATTTTTGATGGCAGTGATGACAGTTTATAAAACATAACAGGCCATCAAATCAAGAAATTTCACCTCCTGGTGTCACTTCATAAGCCAATTAGCTAACTTCCTAATTAAATGTCACCAATTCCCCCCAAATAGCTGTATCACCAATGTGCCACAAAGGAAACTGTTTGGTTGATTACTTACGTAAAATTTTCTTAATTTCTGACGTCTGACTTGAGTATATAGTATCTGACTTTAATGGTGTCCCAAAAAACAGAGTCATGTGAACACTACTGTTTCTGGCATATGAACACCTACATTATTCTAGAAAGCCTTATTTACCAAATCTGAATATGCTCTTTCTACGTGTGTGGTATGTGTCCAGACACACACATATAGTTGTGTATCTACATGCATACATCTACCTAAACACAGGAAGGATACAAAACTAAGACACTACCTGCACTCTTCTCCCGCCACATCTTAAGGAGAATTGAAAAATCACAGTTTTGACCTTGTGATACTGCTACTTGCAAATTAAACATTATCCTAGGAACTTGAAGAAGTCAAGACAGTTGAGCTAAAGAATGAAAAAGCTTTATTTAAAAGATTTGTATTATGGCTCCAGATTTTAATTCGAAGCATGTTTAGTATAGGTTTTGACTATTATAAAACCTTTTCCAAAGCATGCTTCATTAAGGAGACAAAATAGAAAGAATGCACACGAGTAGCTGGAGAAAACATTTTTAACACACTCTCACCAGTACTGACTTGGTTAGCCTTGACCTAATTTAAACCATGAGGATGATAAATCTAGGAGAACATCCAAACTATGTGACTAAAACTTCCAGACAGCCCTGCCAAAGATTTACATGTGCAATTAGAAAATAGCTTTTCAGACCATGTTTAACGTGAATCTAAAGAGAAACATAAACAACAAAAACACACCAGTCTAAGGCAACATACCTCCCTGAAATGTGTGACAGATGTAATCCCCAAAAGAAACTGCCTTCCACAGTCCAGGCCTCCTTACACTTTCTGCAATGTCAAGATTCTTGTCATTTTCCCCAGCTAACTGAAGCATTCTGATGCTTCGTCTTTGGAGGTCTTATTTCTTTGGGTCAACTGCTGTTGTCTAATGTCTTCAAAGTTGTCTAGTGTATTGGAATCACATAGTACAAGTATTTTGAAAGCGAATCTTGGATGCAAATTGAGATGGATACAAGATAAAGAATGATGTAATCCTGGCACCCCTAAGAAGACTAAAAATACACAGGGAATTCTCAACTCTGTTTATGAACAAATACTTCTCTATCGAGTGACACCCCCAGCATAACAAGGCTATCTGATTCACTTACTACAATTAAGGGGGACAGATGAATTTCTACAAACACGCAATTTTAAAATGTTTTACCCAAATTCTGGTACTTTCTATTACAATAACCTTTGTTTTAGATTATAAGCTAAAACATGCTTTGCAGGCCACCATGTAAGTAGGTTTAGTGAAGGATTTTCCTGAGTGACAAATGGCTAATCAATTCAAATTGTAATTAACAGCACTAGAACATGTCACAATTGCTGCTTTTCATCAAAGGTACTGGTCATTCTATTTCCTGAGGAGATAACATCTTGTTAGAATCAACTGTTAAGATTTGACTAAAAATATCAAAGAAAATAATCCTTACATGAGTACCTCCTTTGGTTAACAGAATTAACGTTTCTCAAATATTGTTAGAAAGCCTCTATTTACTTCTTAGATAATGACTGCGAAAAGAACTACCCACTTGCAAATATTAAAGCTGAAAATCCTTCACCAGCTAGTATGATCAACATCACATTGCTAACTTAAATAATTTTTTAAAACTACCCATAAAAAAACAAAGTATAAATGTAAAAAACCTTCTAGAAACATGCCTCCTGTGAATTACCAGGGAGGTTTTTTTTTTTAGGTGTTGGAATAAATTCATATATTTTTACCTGAAACTCCACCATAGATCTCTTCTGCTATCCTAGCTGCTTCTTTTCTATTTCCTTTGACGATATAGAAATGGGTTAGGAGAGCCAAAAACACTTTGATTAAGAGCTTGAAGAAAAAAAAGGTAGCAAACATTGTAATAAAAATGTTTTTAAAGCCATAGAAAACAGGACCGTCCTCCATTTTGGCTTACACTCTGTTTAGGTTCTCAGGATTGCAAACTAGCACCGGGTTATAATTGGTATCATCTGACAGCTTATAATTGGCATCATATGGCAGCTATTTAAAACCTCTAGCCCTATGGTGCTCCTGTTACGGGGAACTCAGTGTGTAGATTCTAAGCTGACTGTGATTTGGCAGCGGTGTGCGCTGACACTCTTGGCAAGATAAGAGAACGAAAGAAACTTCTTTCTAACCAGAAATACCCAGTAGTTCTCAGCCTACATTCACATTATGTTATTTAACAGTCTTTACGTCCACGCCTTCTTTCATTCGTAAACTCCAATTTTGGTTACATTATGTTGAGAGGTAGGACAGGAAAAGATAAACTTCTCAGACACCACACAGACAAAGCAAGCTACTTAAGGTACGTACAAAGACGTGCAAGCACAGCCTGTGGGAGGTGGTGGTCCCTGAAACATTTCATTTTCTCTTCATTCTGAAGTTTATGTAAGATAAAGCCCAGATCCACACTGAGGAGTTTTAAACGACCACTTACTCTAAGGTAGTATTTACACAAGGCCCGTGGGAGGCCTCTTCAGGTGGCACCACTAGCTTTCATCTGGCCACAGGGGTCCTTAACAAAGTCCCTGACCATTCACTTCCCATTTCAAGTGTCAGTAACGGGGGTGCCCCTTGCTGGAAAGTGGGGGATTAAGGAAGAATCATAATGAAATGGACGAACAATACGGTTCTGCGTGCAGTACCCAATCGGAGTCACTACTTCCCGAGTTAGGCCATCCTCTCTTATCCAAACTGTTCGACCTGCATCAGCAATGAGCAATACAGGTGAAACTGGGCTATTTAAAATTCTCCCTGCCAAAGAAATCTAGATCTCCTTGATCATTCTTGGCTATATCACACTGTCTTAATTTCTGTATACAACCTACTGTAAAAGACAAGCCAAAATAAAAACGCTAAGCGCAAACAAAGCAACTATTATCTAATAACTGATTCACACAAAAATATGGGAAAATATGGGAGTTTCTTCTGTTTCCCAACTGTTCAAAGGCTGACACCTTGGGCCACAATGCACAACGCATTATCCCAAACGTCACTCATTTCAGTTCTCAGGAACAGATTGTTAACCTGTAGCGTTTACCAAATTTAGATTACAAAAGAACATGAGCCCAGGGCCTCCCTGGTGGCACAAGGAGTTGAGTCTCAGTACTATGAAGCCAGCCACAGCCACTGGCAGCACGAGTTCAATCCCCAGACAGGGAGCTGACCTAGAAGGCGCGGCAGCCTTCTTCTGTCTTACCGGCTGCACCCCTCAGCAGTGTATTTTGGCCAACCTGCCTGTTCTGTTGCCGACTCTATCTCTGGTGAATCTTCTCACCCCCGTACCTCTGGCCTGTACCACAGTTCTTATATGCATAAGTAAATAAATCTTTAAAAATAAACAATATGAACGCAGTATTTTAGCTCTTTTGAGCTTCTTTAGTTTTACTCTTCAAAGGTGATCACTTACGTCAGCCCACTGATGTATATTGTGTTATCTAACCTCATTCAATCTTGTTTTGGCCAGAATTTTCACTCAAAACATGGCTATCCTTTTGTGGTTTACATACCAGGAAAGTTTGCTGAATACCTCAACATTTTTAAGGTTGAAATGGCTGCACTATTTCTGACAGACTGTCTTTTACTACAGTGAACAATACATTTGAGATGACCTAAAAGGTTACTGGAACAAGGAGTTAACTTACAGTCTTTTACAGGAGATGACATCAACTACAGTTTGACATAAACTATAGATGAGCTTTTTCAGCCTCAGCACAGTTGATACTCTAGGCTGTAGGAGACCAGCTCCAACTTTTGAGGTGTCTGGAGGCTGCACAGGCAGGACCCTAAAATGGGAAGGCGTTGGCGGGCAGAGATTCCCAAAGGGGAGACAGGAGCGGGTGCGAGGAAGACACAGGAGTCTCGATAGGGTGCAAGTCTTCCTGCCATTCCCTCAGCAGGTCTTTATTTATACTGTGTAGCAAGCAGTTAATTGTAATAATTCATAAGGTAAGTTAATGAGATATCTCCATAAAACATTCTCAAGGACAAAGGGAAAAAGCATTCTTCTCTTAACAATTTATGGTATAATAGATGATACATTTTGTGATAGTTATCATGTATACAGCTGTCTAGTTGTCAAAGGAGGAGGGGTCTGGGAAAGGGTGAGCTTGTTAGCAAAAGGTTGTTAGGGGTCTTGGGGTAGTCATAAATTGTGTTAGCAGTGTTATCAGTGATTGTCTAAAGAAAAGCTAGTGGCTAATTTAAGGCTAGCAGAGAGTAGTTAGTGCTTGTTTTAAAAAGGGGTAAATTAAGATAAAGTTGTACAGTTGTATATCAAACAACACCTGTGTAGTCAAGGTTAAAATTTGTCCATTATGCCCTGGGAGCCTTACCTGACGTTTGCTTTTTCATTTAAAGAAACCAAGGAAGCTTCCCAGGAGTTTTTATGTCCTGGGATCTTATTTCTCCTGGGGCTTGCCTTTTGTCTCAGGAGACAGAGGAATTTCTCCTCCTGGGGCAGCTTGCCTGAACCAGGCAGCCGCCGGTGTGGCTAAGACAATCCAGTTATAAACTGAATGTTGCTCAGAATATTTTGATATTATGTTTATACAAAAAAGGGAGGTCATAACATAAGTTAGCAGTGGACAGTCTGATTTTTCAGAACTTATCCTGATCCACCCGGAATCTGTCAGACGATGGACGTTGCATAGCTTGTGTCACTGGGCCAGATAACTCTTTGTTGTGGGAATTGTTCAAAAGCTTTGCATGGTGTTTAGCATCATCTCTGACCTGTGCACCCTTGAATACTGATGCTCCACCCACCAGTTGTAACAGTCAGCGACATCTCAACGAGCAATGTCTCCACACATGGCCTGATATGCCCACTGCCAGATGGGATCCCCCTGCGCACAAGTGCACACACATCCACACCTGCACCCAAAGCCAGAGCCAGACATCGAGGAGGAGGAAAAAAGAAACCAATTCCTCAAAGTCAAATACTGCTGAATACAGATCTAATTCTATATAGATTTTAATTTTCAGACCCTCCGTAAAAAACTCTAGCCAAAGGATACAACCTAACAACATCTAGCCAGATTCTTTCCGAATGCAGAGCCTAACCAGGTCTTTGAAAATACTTCACAAAAGTAAGCACAGATCTTCGGTAGCTCCATTGTGTTGAAAACAAGTTCTGGTCCAAGCTGCCTAGAACCTACCATTGGAGGTGACCACTGCTTCCAATAAAGGGGTGAGAGAAGCTGGATTCTGTAAATTAAGTCAAAAGTCATATTCTTCTTAAAATAACTGAACCAGGCAGTCTGCACAATTCCACAATTCACGTGCACGGTATAGATGGCTCATGCTGTGATTTCAGTGCAGTGAAAAGCAAGGCCTCATTTAGGAAAAGAACTTTCAAAAGCAGGGGATACTGTATTCCATTCGTAAAATAAGACAAACTCAGAACATTGTCAAAATGTCATTTTGGTCTTTATTTTTGAGTATGTAGCATGTTTTCATAAATCAGTTTAACATGTGCTACTTTTTATAACTTCAAAATGCGATATATATTTTTCATAAATTTCTCATCACTGCAAGTTCACTTTCAGATAAAAGTTAAGTAGCAGGGCAGAACAATATGTTTTCACATATTGACCAGTGCAACACTGACAGTTACAGTTAAGGTACCCAGGAAGGCTGAAAATGAAGATTTACTAGACCAAGCAACTTTACTCTCATCTTTTAAGAAAAAACAGGAAAAATAACTTTAATTTTCAAATTATTTCTTTTACACATAAGAGCAACTTTCAATGACATTTCCAACTGAAATAAATGACAATAATGACAAACTTTCTTTAATTTGCTAAAAAACAGAAGTGTACTAAAAAAAAACCCAAAAACCGAGTATGCCTTCAAAAATTGGTAAATAAGTAAAACCAAATGTTAGTTTCCTGCTGTATCATGAATATTGGCACTGTTTATTTCATACTTATATAAATCAGTTTTTATGCATAAAAACCCCAATGAGATTTAGTGATTTGGATTAGTCCCTTTCTCTTCAACAAAAGAACCCCAACTCCTAGATTTAAAAAATTGCACTCTTGCATTTGTGTTTTGGTACAAACAAAACACAAATCTATTTCTTATATTTCAATGGCAACTGGTTAATAGGCATGTTAAGATACTTTTTAAGAAGTAAGAAGTTTGGTGACATCATTAAAAAACAAGAAAGCCCTGCACAGAATTACAATACTGCCAGAAAGCCCTGCACAGAATTACAATACTGCCAGAATCTACCTAGCACACCCACTAGTGCCTCATTCATTGGATTTCACAGTCCTTTATCACAAAAACATTCTCAGGAGTTGAAAGAATAATACATAGCCTGTGAATAATTTGGGGTTTAAAAACCCATGGCTCTGGGCAACAATGACAGTTAACAACATCCACTCACAAAGAGACCGTCTCTAAAATAGACTCCATCTGCTATGAATAAAACATTCTGGGGTGAAGACTTCTGCACACTGACAATACTTAGCAGACACGAGCTAGGCCACAAGTGAAGGGAATGACTTCTATCAAAGTATAGGGTAGCAGCTGAATCTGAGATGGCACACCTCGTACATTCTGCTCGGAAAACACGAAGGCATTTACAGAGGACTAAGTTATGCACTAGAAGAGGCAAAGGGTGTCTCTGCACTATCATCAACAGTGGTATCGGTCCCTAGTATTGAGAAAGCAAAACATGTTTTCATAAACACAACTGAAGGGCAAGGCCCTAACTAGAACACGCAGACCAGGATCGAAGCAGTAACCCTTGTGCCAGCCATTTCTTCCTGGCATAAAAGCACAAGATTTTCTGGCCTGTTGGTTCTGTGTCCATTTCACGTCAACTATGACTACGATGGAGTGAGCCATCTGAGTAATAAAGAGGAAATGTGCCCCTGGTCCGTAACAGCAGGAAGTACACCTCGTTTAATGCTCTACATGTAGTAGGGGCTTCAAACGTGCTGGAAACTAACAGAACATCTTACTCAAGGCACCTGCTGCGCATACGAACACTTAGTGAGGGTGCTCAATAAATGCTTAATGTCTAATAAATGTGTATGAACATGACCTAGAATAGTTCATACAGTTGTAATTCCCTAAAGAAAACTTGTAAACATCTGGTGAATGTCTAATGAATGGTAGGACGTTTAAAATCGGCCAAAAAAATGCCTAAAAAACATTTGGCCCTTCAGCACCCAAAACTCCCAAAATATAGTTTAAAACATCTCTGCTAGAAGGATTTCAGTAATCTGAAAAATGTCATACCTGAGTGGCTTAAATGTTCGCTCCTAAATTTTAAATAAGTGCAAGGAGTTTCTACACTCAGGAATTGCATAAGTTTTTAATCTTTCCTCAAAATAAAATTGAATGATAATAGAGGTAGCATAACTTACTAAATTAACTTTAAAAAAAAAACAGCACGGTTAATTTTCTGTCTTACTAGAACTACTACAAATGCCTCAACTCTTACAATCCAGGCTTTCTTCTACCTGGTTTCAGACACCTCACTGTCCTCATCCTTTTGTTTACTGTAAGAACATGGAGGAATCCAGGCACCCTCTGGCCCCGTGGCATCTACTGCAACATCGATGACAGAATCTGGAGTCATCCATCTCAGGAAAACGAGGAAGAGAAAGTTGAATACAGCCAACAAAGCAAAAATGTAGCCTGTCACCGGGCCACAGTGAGAGATGAGTCTGTTCAGTCTTTTGTCCATCGTTAACACGGCTTCCCCGGCCACGCAGTCGTACACCTGGTGGAAAAAGGCCGAGAATGAACACTCTGACCTGAAAAACCACCACCTGTATGGACCAGGAATGTTTTAAGACACAAATGGAAGTTGTTTGCATTTTGTTGTTATAGTAACGGTATGATTAATGAAATCCGTAAGTCACTCATTGGCAGCCACACTTCATGGAGCTGCTGCTGCTAGATCATCTAAGACGCCAGGGTCCCCGCCCCCAGGGGACTGCCACCAACTTGAACTGGGTATGAGAATTTCCAAGCCCTGAGAAATTGCCACCACTTTTCAGACGGTCCCTGTAGAGACCGCACTTAATTCACAGTGACTCCCCGAGGCAGGCCCAGGCTTCCAAGCTCCCTGCATTCAGCTGAGGCAGCTCGTACTGCTATACGCAGTCACCTATCAGTCAGTCACGATCCAGCATGCATCTAGGAAGAACATCTCTTCCCGTCACAGCCGTGACAGAGCTGTGCTGCCCAGCATGGAAGGTGAGCATACAGACATGCAACTCATGGTTTCCACTACAATCATGTGCCACTTAATATGGGAGATCTGAGACATGGCTCCTCGGGCGATCTCTACAAGGTGCGAACGCCACAGTGTAACTGCGCAAACCTGTGTGCTATCGTCTACTGTACCTCTGGGCTGCACACGAGACCAGTGGGACCACCCATGCAGGTCACTGATGACTGAAACCATGTTAAGTGCCATGGTCATGAGGGGAGGCAAGAAAAGAGCCAGGGGCTAGTGGATGGTCCTGGGCAAACACTAGCAAACCAAGAATCTTACTGCTGACGACTGTAGCATGTGGCTTGCTTTTAAAAGCACTGCCAAGCACTAACCTGAAATATTACATAAAACAAGGATCTTTAAATATCTTTCAGAAACATCAGACAGGCTAACACTAACTGCATTCGAGCGTTACTTGTGCTCACTCACATATCAGAACTGTAAACCATCTCCTTTGAACCTTAAAAAAGTTATATCTGCAGCACAAGTTCCCCAGACCTGTGGTACAGTGTATTCCACCCACCCACCCACCCACCCCCCAGGGCAACTGGGGAGCTTCTGAGTCAGGCCTTCCTGAAACTGGAGGATTACTCCCACAAATGTAATGTGTTCAGAACCAACTAAGTAGCAGTGTTAAAGGAAGGAGTTGAGATGATGAGAATGTCCTATGTAACAAGGAGAGTTAAAAGAGCAATTACAAAGTGAACCGTGTGTCCACCTTTATTTCCAAATCAATAAATTTCAGATGTTACGTGACAAAATACCAACTGACTATTGTGAAGAGAATGACTGTCCACGGAGATGAGGATTAACTTTTTTCCTGAATGTATTCTACTAACCAGGCTGGGCTACCAGCCTCCAGGTAATCAGTGCTAGGTCCCAGGTCCCAAAGGCAACAGAGGGAAAGGTAGTTGTGGTGTCTGGGTGGAGATGCCCCTTCTAGAAGGGGGGGGGAGTGTCTTGGAGATACTGCTGTCAGTATCTGACTGTTAACGGAATGTCTCATATGTCAATGGGAAATGCATTCTCTATGACAGTTTTCCACATGAATCTTTTTGCACTTATATTCAAATGTGGGCTCATTTTATATACAGGAATAGATAATGCCAACCAAGTAAGAAAGCCTTACAGTAAAGAGCTAGTCTACTCAAAAAGGTCCGCATTACTACTCTGCTCCCCTGAACGCAATGACAGCATAAAGCACTCATCTAAACACTTACCTACTTCCTGCTCCCAAATGACTGTCTTTCTAGTTTACAATGGCTATAGCCTAAGCAGCAGCCAACCCAGCTTGTCACATGGTAATAAGAAGCATCAGGAAGCATTTTCACAACTGTCCTGTCCTACCTAAGAAAGACTTAATCTAGTCCCTCTGCCTATCCTTCTGGAAATTCTCTACAGTTGCTTTTCATGTGTGATCATTTCTCCAACATCCGTCATGTGCATTTTGAGTTCTAACTTATTGTGTCACCAATCAAGCCAGATGCAAAACCCTTTTCCTGTAAAAACTCACAGTCATTAGCAAAGGTGGCATGGGGTTCTAGAAAGTGACCTGAAATAAATATTTATAAGTTCTTAAGTTGGGCAGTAGGGCCAAGCAAATCCACCTATTTTCTAATGGGCCAATGTGCTTTAGCATTATCAAGTCTCAAGGAAACATCTAGTAGGAGTAGACCTTCCTAATAGTTTTGTCTCCAAAGGGAAAACTTTCTTCATAGCCAGTGTAACGATGGGGCTGGGCTGTGCGACTGCTATTTCAGAGGTCAAATGCAATGATGTGACAAGAAACTTGGCCCAGCATGTGTCAAAAGCAATGCCTAGTTCATTACTTTTCCTTAGTAGATTACACTAACTCAAGCAATAGCAATACAACAAGCCTAGCCAAGAGAAAGCAAATATGCATGAAATATCACAGAATAATTCAGACCCAATTTCAAACACCCCCTTTGTGGCAATAACATACTTTTTCAGTTCTCTCTGCAACATTCCTCCAAGTGTAGAAGGTCTTCACTATGTTGTGGATGTCTTCTGGAGTTGGCAATGCTCCTGACTTCAGTTGAAAAATAGCTTTTTCTAATCCTTCACACAAAGATTTTACAGAAGGCTCACATAAAATAATAAGGTCTTCTGGAAGTACCTCAGGAATTCCACCAACTCTGGTACTTACAACCTTAAAAAGAAATAAAACACACAGGATCCATCATCATGGCATCTGTGGGGGGGGGGAGGGTGGACACAAAGTGACTTACAGCAAAGCAGGATTTTCCAAAGTACAAGTACAGAAACCCCACCAGTGTCTGTTGCCAACGCTTTTTACCTGTAAACCACAACTGGCTGCCTCCACAATTGCCATGCAGAAAGCTTCAGTGAGGGATGTATTAAGGAAAATATGTCCCTGCACTAAGACACTGCGAACATCCTTGTGTTCTAAGGCTCCCAGGAGACGAACTCTGGTGTTTGAAATGAGAGGACAAAAAAGTGAGGGAAAAGCACACTACAACAAAAGAAATACAGTGTATGAGCCTGGTGTGGATTGACATTATACTACTGGTTCTAACGTTTCCCACCTTGAAAGATTATTGCTAACCCTGATCCTACAGGAAAGCCTTGGAAAGCTGTTAGGCTAAAACTCAGAGCACTAACATATCAGAGCACTAACATATCTCTAACTCGAGCTACACACAGCAAATTTCATTTTCTCCAGAAGTAGTTTTGGAGTAAGTTTGGCATTTAATGAAAAATGAGTACACTCTCATGAGTAAATGTTAAAGTGCTATTTCTAAATAGGCAAATGCCCCTCTATACAGATGCTTCACATACATGCACCTCATACAACACCGATGTTCCTGGGTAAGTTCCTAGTGAGAGAAATGTCTGAATCTGCACGTACAGGGCAATTTATGCAACTTGAGTCATGTTTCAAAATCACAACACAGGATGACTTAAAGATCTGCAAACATTTCCAGAGTGTGTTGGGTTTTTCTGTCCCATTCACAATAAATCGTAGCCACTGACTGATCCCTGAAGTCAAATAATCAGAGGCTAATGAAAAAAAATAGTTCTTTAACTAGTGTTCACCACTTTATATACACTAAAAAAAAAAAAATAGCCTCGCATTACATTTTCATGTCAAACATACATAAAAGCCCACTTAATGCAGGCATGTAACTAAAACCCAATATAGATAACTGACCTTTTCTCACCCAAGACATGGAATCCACCAATACCTGTCATGGAGCTGGTATCTTTCCCGTACTTCTTCCAAAATGATTCTCTTTGGTCCTTCTCCTCCAATTATGAAATTTAAATCTGGATATTTGTGACAGAGTTCAGGTATTATACCACTAAGCAAATCAGTCCCTGAAAATATAAAGTTGAATATTGGAGACATTAGTATTTTAACTTAAAACACACACACACACATCTGAACTGAGAATCCATTCATTTTGAAAATATGTTTCTCCTTAAGTAGAGAAACTCTCTTAAACCTTTGCTGGGAGGTCCCCCAAAAGAGCAATTCTTGAAGACACTGATCTCCATCATTACCTCCCTTCCACTCAACAGACGCACTATTCTGTTTCATTTCAACATAGCTTTCTTCGAGTTCTGTAATTCTAGAAAAGGTAGTTGAAACAGGGGACTGGAGAATGAGGTCTTGTTCCAGGCTTTTTGAGCAAGCTCCCTGATCACTGAAGTCTGAAACAGAAACTGAAGAGAACTATGTGCCTTGAGTCTAAGGCCTCTTTCAGCTATAAAATTCTACAGGTTTATGACTCTACTTCCTGTCATAAGAAGGGATCAAGCAACAAAGAGCTGCCGCATCCACACCATCAATGGCATCCACACCATCTATGTCATTTGTACAAAGGTGAGAGAGAACATGAGGGTATGAGCCAATCTGGAAAGGCCATTCAAATCTGCTCTGGGCACTTCCCCTGTGAATGGCAGGGCGGGGCCTCAACTGCTGACTTGTTACAGTCCACAGAGCAAAGGATCCCTCTTGGCTCCTGTATTCTTTCAATTCATATCGCTTCTTGTAATGCGCAAACGCAACCTCAGGTACTACAACAGTACAACGAGACATGCCCTACTAGCCTCAAAGTGGCTGTCCAAAGTGCTGGTAATGGTGACACTATTTAAGAATGTAGTTTCATACACATTCAGAAGTAAATATAATTTACTTAAGGGCTTAGAGTATTTATTTGAACAATGTGCACACACCAGAAGTGCACTTCTTATATCAATCTTCCCAATATAGACAGATCGATTATTAAAAAGAGGGTGGGAGAAATAATGTATGTAGGGTCATTGTATTAAACAATTGAAAGTAGGATTTAAGTAAGCTCTGCCAGTATTTTCAAGATACAACAGCATTAGCAAACATAAATTCACATGCATTTTTCTGACTTATGGGTTCTCATTAAAATCTTTGCTATCTTTATTCCAAGTTTATTCCCAAATCCAGCAACTGAATTTTTCAATAAACAAGAAAGTGGCTTAGTGACTTTTAACATTTAGTCTAGCACTTCTTCCTTTCATTCCCTTCCTCCATTCCCATTCTTCAAATGGAAAGAAAAGCAATAATTGTAATTGCTAATAGCATTTACTGAGTGCTTATGATATCAGGCAATGCACTTAATATGCACTGCCATTTAATCCTGACAACTACTTCATAAGAAATGGAACAAATGTTATCAATGCTCTATAATATTCATCTAAGACTAAAGGGATATAAAAACAAACTTTCTCTCCCCACTATAAAAAAAAAACTGTCCTGGGCCCGCTCTGGTGGCGTAGCGGGTGAAAGCACAGCACTAAGAAGCGAAAGCCACTTCCTCATGAGCTCATGAGCTCAATTCCCGCCTGCCCCGAGGTGACCACAGGGTGTGGCAGACCTCTCCTGACCGCCCCCGCCCCCCTCAGCAGTGTACTTTGTCGATCTGCCTGTTCTGCTCCCCACTCTGTCTCTGGTGAAGCCTCTCATCACCCCTGAGCCTCTGGCCTATACCCCAGTTCTGTATGCACAAATAATCTTTAAAAAAAAAAAAACTGTCCTGCTGCCTCCAAGAGCTAACTCAATAGAACAAGATTTTCAGTTGCCATAGTCCCATTAAAATGGACAGGAAAACTGCTGACTCAAACTGCATTTAAAGCACACTTTAACAACATATTAAAGCATCTACTGAAGCTTTACTCCGGATTACAATGGCTGGCAGGGAGCAGAAGGAACAGGAGCCCATACCTCAAGAAGAGCTGAACTCATTTGTCATCTGTTACTTACTGTGTAACCTGGGTGAGGTACTTACCCTCTCTGAGACTCCCTCTCTGAGACTGTTTGTCTGTTACATGCAGATAACATGTACCCTACAGTTGTTGGGAGGGTCAAATGAGGTACTGTACCATGCCAGGCTTTATCAACTGCAGAATATAAATGTAAGTTATCATTACCACCCAGCAAGAAGTAGGGCATGCCTGCACAGACACCAGGGGACTAGGAAACCTGTCCAAGCAAGAGACCCGGAAAACAAGGAGGCAGTTAAGACAGGTGGTCTGGCTGAAGGAACTTTGATTTCTCCACTTTCTTACCTAATACATTCCAGTGGACCTTGGCTATTGGGTCCAAATGAAACCTCCTAAGGAAACTGATCTGTGAATAATTAATAGACCATTAATACAATGACCCACCTTGGAGCATCTGATATGGCCATTTCTTTGCAGAAATGTTATTTTTCAGAGACAGTTCACTAACATTTGTTAAATTACTGAACTTAACAGGAAAGATTGCACCTTTACTCCGTTGGTCCTTACCCCAGCTGGTTAAAATACCATTATCAGCAAAGTTAAGGCAATGACTTAATCTTTGTAGTAGTAATTGCTCTGATTCTAGACCATGCATATGTTACCTCTTTCTTATGCATCTCAAAAAGACATATATTTATATATAAACAAATTAAACACATTTCCTCAGTTGTAACAAACATCACCAATATCCCAAGACCGATTCAGAATACACACTGCTGTTCCTGTCAAATCATGATTAAAAGGTGAAATCACATCACTGCCCTCACCCGAACAAAATGTAGTTCAATAGTACACATACCAGCCTCCACGGACATAGATTGCTGAATCAACCAAGGTTCCACATTTGGATTTTAGGTCACTTTCTAGTACATTCTATACTACCAATCCCACTACAAAACTTCATGCTTACCCAAATCAGCTGTGTTTGTCCACAAACCTGTTTTGAGGCCCAATGTGCTTGTTATACTAAGTAATTTAATTAAGTAGCATGTCAACTGATAAGAGTTTCTCTGAAACCAACCCAACGGTTTGAAAAACTCAATAAAGGAAGTCACAAGAAACAGGGCTTGTCAGATTAGGGGTGTCCTACACCACTATGAAACATCAAAAATACATTAAAACTCCAGAAGCATTTGACTTCAGGTGCTCCAAAGAACCCAAGTAGGCTGTTATAAATTGTGCTTCTGGAAGGTGACTACAGAACACAGGATGCAGTGTGGTCCAGGCCAGGCTCAGGCTCAGTGTCTGCAAGCCTCAATCAAACCACTAGCACCTCCTTGCATGCCACCAGTATTTTAAGTTAATCTCTAATATGGTGGGGGGGGGGGGATTTTTGTAGTTATCTTTTTACGCTTCCCTACTTGAAATGACACTTTTGATTACTGGCCAGGTTTCCAACTGTGACCCAGAAGAATAAGTTTCAGACTTACAGTAAGCCTGGCTCCAGAAATTCTATCTCAGTGTCCACTATCTGCTGCAGGGGCATTTAAAGCATCCTCTATGATAGCAGTGGGCACTTGTCAAGCACAAAGGGGGCTGAGAACTTTATAGGAACTATCACTAACACAAGCAAAATTCCCACCATTGCCCAAAGTATATACATGAAGTGAAACTGACTCAGAGAGGTTACCGAGCTGGTCCAGGTCACACACCAGGGCGCCAGATGCGGGCTGTCCGATCCCTCTTACCTGCCATCACCACTTACCTGCCGATAAGTTATTGACGTCTAATTAAACCTGATTCCTGAAGTAAACAAGCTACAGAACAGTAGCATGCAGCAAGCCCACTGATTCTGCGTGTTTACTGATGCATAAAGTAAGACAGAAAAGCCCTAGATCCAGAAGTTCAGGGTGAACCCTGAACAGTAGTTAGATGATTTTAATTTTCGCTGTTTTGCTTTTCTTGGTTTTCAAAATAGTTGCAATGGAAGATACTATTTTTGCAACCTGAAGGAAGGTTCTACACACTCTGTCCCCATACTTCTTAAATGCTAGTGCAAGGCTGGCATTTTAACTTTCAAAAGTCCTGACCTATAAAGAGCATCAGATCACTGCTCTTTTCAGTAACTAATAAAGCCTGCAAGGTAGAGGGGACAGTATTCACCACTGTTCCCAAAAGCTCTGTTTGGATGCATACAATTGTATACCTTTGCTATACCGAATGCAGCAATAGTTCTCACACCATCAAACAAAACAAAAAGTCAATCATTATATACAAGTATTGAACAACTTTCTACAGAGCAAAAAGAGAAGTCTGTGCAGTGCAGTTACAGCTATCGTTTCATTACCTTTTCTGTAAACAAGTCTGCTGACAACAATGATAGTGAGACTATTATGCCTTTTAAATGGGTCTGGAGTGAAGTCAGTAGGATCTACAGCATTAGGAATGACGGACACTATTTCAGGATTCAGTGCTGCTCTGAGCACAGTGTTTTCCTTACTAGTGTAAGAGACACAAATTATGTGGTTTGTGTCACAAAGAGACACAGTTAGAAGCTTGTTTGTAAGCACCGAGCTGACATCAGCAAATCCAAAAAGGGAATGGTCCGTGAAGACTGTCTGGAGCCCCATGGTCTTGGCGTGGAAGAGGGCGTCATGGGCCATGGCAGAAAAAGAACTATGTGAATGGATTATCGTGACTCTCTCCCGAACGAGTATGTACCTGAGCAGTGGCAGACTGTGAAAGAGGGTCGTGGCTGTAGATTGGTTGTACATGACTTTCAGAGGCAAGTAATAGACTTTGAGGCCATTGGTGAGGTAACGGATGCCTTTTCGATTTCCATAAGCGTGGGTGACAATTATGACCTTGTGCCTCCTTTCAATGAGGCACTGAGAGAGCTGGTAAATGTGGCTTTCCACGCCTCCCATATTCGGGTAGAAAAAGTCCGACACCATGCATATATTATGGGGCTGTTTTCTACTTAGGCAAACACTTCCAGGGTCAACACAGGAGAGCACAGCTGAGGAAGGCTGGTCATGCTCCTCTCCTCCTCCTCTTCCTCCTCCTCTTCCTCCTCCTCTATAGGCCATGCTGAGATGGTTCAGGCATTTGTCCTTAGAGCAACCCAGTTGTGTCACTGTTACCTGAAAAACAGAGTGAAACAGGATCTCAATTCACAGGCAAAATACATTCCACATTCCAAATCCAGATAGAAATAGCTCTAAAGGTAGCATTCCCCAACCCCATCAGAAATGAAACAAAGTAGACAATGAATTAATTTGGTAATAATTGTTTGCTTGGCATTTACTATGCCACAACTAGCTTCTACAGCCTTCTGGCTCAGTTTTGCTTTAAAATACTGCTACATAAAACTTTTGCAAACAAGATTACATCACAGTATGTGACAGTTTGCCATACTCACAAAGTAGCTCATTCCATTAAATATATGGCTCTCTACAGAAAATGTGCCAATGCTGCTCTAGACTGAGCCGGTGACTCAATGAATCTTAACAGTTGCGCTATTATCAACTTTGCAGATGACACGTAGAGCTAGAACTGTCTTCCTGAGAGCACTTTCAGCAAAAGCCACCAGTAGTGCCAGCTGCAGACCCAAATACACACACATTATTTTCTCCTTGCTTATCCAAAATGGTGATAATAACCTGCACCCTCCATTTTCTGGCTCCTTCTTTCAGTTACCTAAGTCTTTCTTCCATTTTCTTCCATGACTGTCTCTCCCTTCAGTCTGGGGTCTGAATGTTAAGAGTAAGCTAAAAAATGGGCTAGCGCCACAGCCAGTTTCTACACCTAAAGTGGCAAATGCTTATCTCTGGAGTCCCCTAGACCCCCCCTCAGCGTGAAATGCCTACCCAGTATTCGGTACTAGTACTGATTCTTAGATTTTTTTAAGCTCCAAAGTCTTGGAAAACTGGTGAAAACTCTTCCTCAGCTTTACAAATGAGGTTTCCATGCCTCCTGAAATTCAGCTATCAGAAGTCATCCTAAAGGGCTGACTTCCCAGTTTCTCCTGCAACCTCAGAAAATGCAAAGTAGCTGCACGTGCCTAAAGTCTTAACTATTCTCTCAACAAATTCATCTAGTTTTAAATGCAGTCTCACAAACACTCGATATTTGCTGATCTGAATTTATTGATCAGAATTCAGTATCACCAAATAATGAGATTCATCAAGTTTGTATTCTGTAGTGGTCTCCCTAACATTTTTTTGTATGGTCTGTCACCTAAATTTTCCAGTTCTTCAGTTAAAAGAATGAACAACGAAAACCGTGAGCCAAAACTTCATGAAATTACTGAAAGTAGTGAAACTGCACCACTCTGCGAGGAGTCCGCGACTCCCCGCGGGTGATCACACCTCACTTCTTTATAGCCTAAAAGCTCAAGGCGCCGGATGCCCACCGACGCTGCGGTTTTCAAGCCGAAGGGAGGCTCGGAGGTCTAGTGACCGACTAACTCAGCCTCACAAATGCGAAGCCAGACCATTAGGTGAGCGCTTCGTTCAAGACCCGACCCCGCGACCAGAAGGTGGCAAAGGCGAGACGGCCTGCGGGTTCTCCAGCGTGACCACCGAGCCCCTGGGGAGGCAGTCCATCGCCGGCAAAGCTCCCGAGGAGCCTTCGGGAGACGCGGAGTCTTGGGCGCAAGAGGACCCGGCTTCTCCCGACTGCCCAGGCAGTGCCCGGGGCTTCCCGCACCGAGAGGTCGCTGGGAAGCGTCAGGGCCAAGGAAGCTCCCATTCATTCAGCAAGCCGGTCGGGGTCAGGGGTCTCGCCAGGCCCCATGGGGAGGAAAAGTCCCGCGCGGGCCGGCTTGCGAGGCAGACAGGGGTCCCGGAGCCCTACGCCCCCACCGCCTTAGCTCTGAGAAGCCGGCTCCAGCGCGGCCGCCTCGGCGCACTCTCCGTGCCGCTCCACTCGGAAACGCTCGACCCCCGACTCCGAGGCTCGTCCGCTCGGCGTCGCCCCGTCGAGAGTCGGTCGGGCTCCCCAACGGCCCAGCCCAGCCCCAGGAGGAAGTGGCCGAGGGTGCCGGTGGCAGGAGGTCAGCCGCGCACTTACCGGCGAGCCCCATGGCCGCCGTGTCCGGACCTCCCGCGGCAGTGGCTGGAGCCCCTCCCCGCGCTCCCAAAGCACCAATCCCGAGCGTCCGCGCCCGAACGCCGCGCCCCCGAGGCAGCCAATCGCAAGGAGGCTCTGCGGTCACGTGCAGACCCTCCGTCCCCACCCTTCCGCGCGGGATGTCGCGTCACCGCGCGCAGGCACAACTCTCCACGGTGTTCAAAACACCTGTTTTCTCTTTATTGAGATACGTAACTCTCGGACTAGTCATCGATACGAATTTCTAACGTCTCCAGGCTCTCAAAATCGGCTCCGGGCTCTTCATGCAAGAGTGGGTACCTGTAACCCTTCCGCTGGGTAAAGCCGGAACTCCCAGCGTGCCTCGGCGGGGCCCTTTGGCGCTGCTGGGAGTTGTAGTCTGGTGACCTTTGGCATTGAATCCCAACTTAGAAAACTCCCAGGATGCACTGCGCTCGCAAACCTGAATCCTGCCCAAGGCTTGTTGGTGACAGAGCCTTGGTTGCCTAGTAACGGCGTCCTTTTATGGGACCCTGTTCTCTGGCTTCAGAATGGAGTGTTTAGGAAGGCTATAGAAAGCCAAGGTCTGGCGGCATTCTCTGGGTGATTGTTGTGCCACAGTAGAACCGTGTTGGCTCTTAGAATTCTGGTAGGGTTGCCCGATGTTGCCAAAATACACAAAGTCAAATCAAAACAAGTGTATATTTTTTGAATTTCCGATAAGCAATTTTTTTTCAAGATTTATTTATTTAAGAGGATTCACCAGAGACAGAAAGGGGTACAGAACAGGCAGATCGACGAAGTACACTGCTGAGGGGAGCAGCAGGCGGGTCAGGAGAGGTCTGCCACGCCATGTGGATCTCCTCCGGGGCAGGCGGGGATCGAACTCATGTGGAAGTGGTTCAAGCTTCTTTGTGCTGTGCTTTAACCCGTTGCGCTACCAGGGAAGGCCCCGATAAGCAATTTTTTATATAAGTGATCCAACTATCAGGGACTTGACAAAATGTGTGCGTTTATCTGAAATTCAGATTTAACTGGACATGTATTTATCGGCAATCCTACACTTTAGGAAGGAAAATCTTAAGGTCTGACCTGAAATTTCAACCCCCCCACTCAAACTGGCTCAACTTGCTATGGTGGTGCTTGTCCAAGAGACTAATGATGCAGGAGGAATGATCTGATGCCATCTTCTCCTGGCGGTTACACTTGGAGCTCCCCAGCCCTGCCCTTTGGAAGCAGCCCTGCCCTCTCTGAGCACCATCATCATGCCACTACCAGCACCCCTTTAGGCTGCAGTAATCCTACTCACTCCTGAAATTTTAATTCCTTTCTTATGCCCTCCCCACGCCTCAGGACAGAATTAAACCCTCCTTCTTCTTTAGTCAACTGCTGCTACAGCACCTGTCCAGTGACACTTGACTTGTTTACCTGACCACCACCCACTTCCTCCTCAACCTGATAAAAGTGTAGGGAAAAATACCCCCACTCCATCTGGGTTCTAAGGCTGGACAGATGAACAAATTAACATCAGACAAAACAATAGGAGGAAAAGTCAAAATTTAATAATATGCATATGGAGAATTTGCATGGTTGCACATTCTGAAGAATGTAAATACCCCCAGTATTTATTTATCCTAGGTCTAAGTGGCAGTGGGCAGACTGAGGGGGCCCTGAAATCCCCAAAATTGCACACTCTAAAGAGGTTCAGCCATCTGCTGCAGAAAGATAAAGCATATTCTTGGTGTGTAAGATCTTTAATAAAATGATTGTTCATAGGGGGGAAGAAGAGAAAGAGAAATGATACAATTTCCCAATTTTGTGGGTAGCTGTCGTCCGGCCACACAGGGTTGTTCTGAAGTGTGGGCACTGAGGCCTGAAACTTGCCCAAGCCTAAGGCACCTTCTGGGGCAAAAGGGACCAGGCAAGTCTGGGACAAACGAAGCCAAATCAAAGTACAAGTGAAGGTAAAAGCTGCTGCTGTCAGCCCCCTGAGTGTCTCTGATCCATGTGTCTCCTTCATGTCCCCTTCATGTCCCCCAAGTCCCAGTGTTAAGTCCAAAGCTGAGAAGCATGTTTCTTCATATAGCTGTTTATTCCACATGTCTTTCCAAATGTTCCATATCTTCACCAGGACACTCAGCTCCCTCCCTCATTAGGTAGGGTGGGAAGCTGGAAGCCCCCTTTTTATGGAGATTCCCGTTAAATTGGTAACTGTATTTGTTTGCTAAATGCCTACCTTCCCTGCCAAATAGTAAGCTGAGGCAGGGTCTAGTCCTAATGATAGGTTTTGAATACATTGTAGTTGTAATAATGAATTTCTTTGCTAAGCCAGCAAGCCCCTGACACCTATTATGCACCCAACAAAATGTACTAATAGCTCATGATTTGTACCTGATGAAAGTTACAGTGTGGTGATATAATGCAAAGAGCATTTTGGTTGTAGGATTTGAAGTAATTTTGAGTTACCTTTAGAGTAAGGTTAATACAGAAATAGATACTCTGCACCCTGTTCATACTGAAGCCTCAGAAAATAAAGATGGCGAAGACTCAGTCATTTATTCAAGTTTAATAACTTGCATTTGGTTTCACAGATAACACCAGTACTGCGGCAGAGGGCAAGGGGAGAACTCTCAGGGCCAGGGTAGAATAGAAAAAGCCTCAGAAGAGTTAAAGAAGGCTCCAGAGATAATGGCAACCTGTTCCAAAAGGGACTAATCAAACACCCCAGGACTAGCAACAGGACCTTCCAGAACAAGGACAATAAAGGAAAAGGACTCTAAGATAAGGGCTGGGGCACAGAGACATTAAAACAGAAACCACAGAGAACTAACCAATCCCATAGAGACAGGTGGGACTTTAGAATAATCAGGGAATGGCCTATGTTCCCCAAGACACAACTCCACATGTGCTCCCTTGCCCGTCCCTGGCCCGGTTTCACCAGCCTGGGAGTCCCTCTGCATTTCTGTTCCATCTCCTCTCAATAAACTCCTTCCTCTAAATCAATTTGCCTCCTTGCTTGCTTGTCTGAGCATCTGTGAAGTCCTGCTGTGGCTCCGGCTCCCTGAGGCGCCTACCCCAGGTGGCTTAGCAGCCGGGCTCAGGCTGCCCGCCACAGCTTTGGGATGGCTCCTGGCTGGGAGACTAAGCCTGAAAGCCTGGCATTTTCAGTATCAGTGTCACCAGACGATAAAGCGTGGTTTTGCTCCCCTCTACATTTTTGCAGCAGGTTTCAAGACAAAGAATGTGGCTGGAAATCCTGAAAGCTATAATTGTGAGTTAAGGCTCATTTATTGAGCCCTGGTTTGCCTCGGCCATAGTTCGGACCTCAGTCAGTACACATTTGAAATTCTCCCATGAATCTTCTAAGATCCTGCTGTCAATAATACTTCGAAAGAGTAGCTTGGATCTTGTTTCAAAACAGAATAAATATTTCCTATCTTTGTCATCAAACACTATGGAATGCTGTATGCATTAAAAGCTTTTTATCATTCCCAGCTTTTATAACATTTTACCAAAAGTAAAAAGCAATCTACCTTCCTTGAAAGGTTCTTTGAGCTTTAAATACAGTAGAACAGGATGACCTTTCTAAACAGGTAGCAATAAAGACACCATTGTGGGAATAGCTGTAGGGGAGGGGCTTGAGAAACCTGTAGGCCTTTTTCCAACAAAGTCTGAAAACACGGAACAGATTATCATGCTCCAGTCTCTGACCTAGGCACAGAAATCGTGATTCCTTACACAGTTCACAATGTCACAAGGGAATGTAACTCCATTTATAGTTGAGTTAAACCTTAAGCAAAGGTATTCATTTGAGCCGGTTCTCGAGAAGTCAAAGGAAAATTCTAACAGCAGGATTAAGTGCTCTGCCTCCAGGTATACCTTCAGAGAGTTTTCTTAGGGACCATTAAAATATAGGCAGGGTATTCTGATTGCACTTAGTAAAATCTGAAGGCAATTGGTAGCAGTTAGAGCATAAAAGGCCTATCAGTGGAGAAGGTGTAAAATAAACGTGCATCTCACCTTCCCTTGAAAGTCAATTCTTTGCAAATTCATGTGTAAATTAGCTCCCTTGGATAGCTTTGGTGAGGGGAGGGAACACTTCCCACTGAGAGCTGGGAGCTATAAGACAAACAAAACTGGAACTCTGTAATGAATGCATCCTCGGTGCTATTCAAGTGCAAAGAACTCGACGTTCCTTAGCCTCCGGGCAGCGCGCTACACAATAACTACAATATGGTGAGGTCACCTGCCGCCAAGAATTCATCCACACCCAGGTATTTCTGTAGAAAGAAGCAATTCAATTCTTTGTAGTTGATGCTAGCTGGTTGCAATTGAGAAAAGAACGGATACTTTGCAACTGGGAGTCTGGCTAAAATGACCAAATAGTAAGTATGTTAGGAATTGCTGACCTGTGATATGATACATTCTCTGGCAGCCACTCAAAATCAAAAGCAGCCATAGACAGTACGTCGACAAACGTGCACGGCTGTGTCCCATAAAACAGTACAAAAATCAGGCAGTGGACTGAAATTGACCAGTGAGCTGTGGCTCTCAGACCCTGTTCTAAAACAAACTGTCAGCGCTAAAATTTACAACGGCAGATTTTTTATTTTACTAAGCTATGGCAAAGCTCAAATGGCATATAATCGATCTTTTCCATTTCATAGATATTTGGGAGGAGATCATTAATTCAATTCCTTTCTTGAGTTGAAACTTGTGAAGAATTCAAATATCCAGATAGTCTCGCTACGGTCAAACAGCATGAGTTCCATAAAATTGCATTCCATTTTGAGCTTCATTTTTCATTCACTGGCCACAAAATCAATGCAACACTTCATCATTTAGTCACTAATTGTTTATGAAGCATCTGTATTTGCAAGACATTGTTCTCACACTGGGGATTATGAGTAAATTGGAGCAAGTTCAGCTCTTGTTGACCAAATCCATTCAGTCGCCACTTTTCACAAAACTATTGCTTTCCTTAAAAACCTTCAGAGGGATTAGCCCTGTCCTCCTGGGTAAGTATCTCAGAAGCATTTTAATCTCCTCCAACTCTTGTTGGAGTGTAAAATATTGCTGCGTTCAATAACGACCGAGGCCCCTGTCCGATGCAAAAACAAACGAGACTTTATTAGGCCAGCTCGAGCCAGGATCCTTCCTTTTCCTGCCCTGTCACAGCAGGCACACCCCTCAAGGAAGGATCCCGAAGATCTACAGAGTGGGGTTTTAAGGGCAGTTAGTAGAGCTGGGGATTTTCCACCGAATACGTCCGTTGGTGGTGGGTGCCTGCAAATTCCTGTTTGTCCAGATGTTAGGGACACAGCAGACGCTGGAAGCTTATCTTGGTCAAGCAGGAATCTAGGCTTATCTCTGGGAACGCACCGGGCCAGCACCTTCCAGGAACAATGGCTCCGGAGGGGGTGAGCTGTCTAGTGAGAACTAACTTTTTACAACATTCCCAACACTCTGACCATTATGTTTCCCAATCTATCCCTCGCTAAAGGGCCTCCCAGCAAGCTGTTTCAGTTATAGATTTATGACCTGTGTTGTCATATGAGTACATTCCTTTTATTTATCTAGGCTTTGAGGCATAGATAATCAGGGACATCATGCATTGCTGGCACATATTCTCCTTGCTTTAAGCACTTGGGATTTTTCACATATTTTTATTTCGCAAACAAGTTGGGAACTTCTGCCCTCATTCCACATGCATGACAAATATTTTTGTAAAATGACCAGTGAACTGGAGCAAGGCAATGGCCATACCCTACTTCTACCTTGACCAACCCTCCCCCCACACCCCACCCAGGCTCCAGGATGCTAGTAGTGTAACAGGTACAGGTTTCATGGACTCCGCCCCTACTCCAGATGCTGGAACTCCAAATCCCATCAGTACCAAGGAGAAGCACGCTGGGACTTGAGGGCAGAGCTGAGCAGCCAGGTTGGGATAAAACCGGACATGTGGGCTCTGGGGGGAGACCTGGTGGTTCGCAGCTGATCGTTTTGGCGCTCAATCGGTTTTCAGCGTGCTGGTGGAGTCCAAGTCAGCAGAACTGGTAGGACATCCTAGTTAACCTGTGTTTCTCTCCCTCTTTCCCTGGGTTATTCCTTTACCTTTGTCCTTATAAATAAATCCATTATTTAACCTTTTTGAGTGTGTCCATAATACGATTGAATCGTAAGCGCACAGGTGAAGACCCACAGACAGGCAACCCAATTCACATTGGGGTGCCCTGTACCAGTAGCAAACACTGGTGATCACTGTGAGTTAGACAGGAAGAGAGAGGCCGGGGTTCCGAAGCACAAAGCCAGATCCCACATAGCGCTGTCCCGGTCCAGAATCCCTTGTCCTGTCTCCATGTTGATGGCACTTAGGAGATTGGGGTCACTAGCCAAAGCCTGATCTGAGTTGCTTTTAGGGCAGATCCAGGTCTCCAGGCAGGCTAGGCCAAGAATTGTGCTCTCAGGCTTGTTCCTTTCTTTTGGGATAATCCCCTGAATTTGTAAAGTACAGTGTATTTTTTTTCCTGTTGGGGTAACTCAAGTGAAAGGATCCGCTCTGAGACGCAGGGAGGTGCGAGCATTGTCCACTTCCGGCAGGCGAGGAAGCTGGGGCAACGTGGAGCCGCTGGGATTCATGACGTGATGAGGGAGCAGAACCTATTCTTCCCGTAGTTTTCTGCTGGTCCACGATCAGTCTCTCTTCAGCAGTACAGGAGGAGCCATGGTGAAGTCTCCTTTCACAGCAGTCGGTGCCCCTGGGGTCATCTGCTGCCCGGCTCTCAACAGAACTTAACCCAACACGATGGAGGAGGAAAGAGTGGGAGAAACTATAAGGAGGAATGAAGAAAGGAGCTGAATGCTGACAGAATTGAGGAACTAAGTCACATGTGAGTCCTGCCGGAAGTCTGAGAACCAAGTGAAAACCAAGGAGGAGGCCCAGTGACATCAAGATCATAGTGAGGTCAAGGGAACAGTGACAGGAGAGTGGGGTCTGGGCGGGTGCCCGTAAGTGACAAGCCTGATGGTAGGGGTTCTTCTGGAACAGGGGGGTCCCTAGGAAAAAGGGAAGTTGCAGGTTCCCTGCCCCACCCAGAAGGAGGGTGGAGCTGAGCAGAGAAAAAAGAGAGAAAGGAAGGAAGAAAGCAGCTGGATGGAGAACAAGGAGGAGACCTAAGGAAGCCACATGGAGCAGCAAGCATGTGAGGAAGAAACCGGGCTTGTTTCCTGACCCTGGACTGGTGAAGGCAGATGTGGGTGAGATCTCTGTAGGGAGGTGACTATGGCAGTGTTCATATTGATTTTGATTTTGCTCTTTTGCTCCCAGATTTGTCTGGCCATTTCTGACCCTTTTCCATGGGTCCCGGCCAGAAGGTGCTTTAGTCTTGGTAGGCTTTCAGGCTTTGCTTTGGGCCAATCCCTTTTGGGTTGACTTTTGCCCACGAGGGGATGGGTCACTTCAGGTGTCTGATTTAGAAGTTATATTCTTTGTGTTCCGTATTGTATATTTACTGTATTAAAGTCCCTTTTCATTGAAGTTTTATATGTTTTGTCTTGTTGCAGCGGATGGCAGACCCACTTAGAGCAGGCAGGTTTTGGGGCTTCAGGGGTGTCCCTCTCCCCAGTCCTCTTAACAGATTTGGGGTGTCCTATAACACTTCCCCACCGGGTCAAGTTCAATCACGTCCATAGGGCAGAGACTGAGAATGAAAGCCGGGAAGAAGGAGAGGACCCAGACAGAGATCTCAGAAAATGTCAAAGAGCAAGGGAGAATTCGGCAGTTGCCCAGGAGCCCGGAGAGGAAGGGCAGAGACGTGGCCAAGATCCTGTCATTGTATGGCAGGGCTGCGAGAGAAACAAAATGACTTGGCCTGCATTGTCCCCTTGCCTGTCCGTGTGACTGTGCTGCTCCCATGGTGTGGACGGAGGGTCGTGGCATGCACAGATCTGCTCGCGACACAGCTCTCCACTGTAAGGCGGTCACAGTGTAATGAGGAGACGCTCACAGCCAGCCATTCCTAAGTCTGTGTGGCAAGTGCTGTCTCAGGTTCTCTGTCTGCTCTCGCTCATCTCCCTGTCGCTGCACCCACCCATCCGCCTGCCCATCCAGCCATACATCTGTTTCTGTAGGATGCTGCCAGGGGAATCAACTTTTCAGTCTCTTGCTAAATGACTTAATTCTGGGAAAGCTGCTAAATCCCCTGTGTCATAGCAAACTTTCAGCCAAGTCTAGGCCATCCACAAATTACTTGCAGGAGCAACTGAGGGGAGAGCAAAGGGAAAGGGCTTCTCTGCCCTTCCCAAGTAGCTTGGAGAAGAACTGAGAGGTGACGGGTCTGGTTGCTGAGTCCATGCAGAAACATGAGGCAGAAGTGGCAGGAGAGTCACCAGCCCTCAGAGATGCCAGGGCACCAGCAGCCCTCTTCCATCATGGGGCGAGGGCAAGTATGATTGAACACAATCTCGAGGACAAGATTTCTGGAAGCTTAAACCTTCTGAGAACTACACCAGTTCCCCAACACCGACACCTCGTTTTGTGGGGTTCAGGACCCTCCCCATACCCCACACTTCTAAATCCCTTCCTCTCTCAAAAACACCATTTTCTTTAGTATAAAAGTTAAAATGGACGCATATTAAATACTACATCATTCTACGACTGACTACTAGTGTTCATTTTCTTTAAATATATTTAAATACAAAACAACCATAGTTTGGTAAACCCAAAGCTACAAGCTGGACAGTTACTGGGAAATCAGTACTGGCCATACAAATCAAAAAATCTGCAGGAGAAAGATTCAGAACAGTTCATGAGGGTCGCAGTTAGCAAATGACTTCGAGACTATGCAAACCACCTCACTGCTACGCACAGTCGCACAGCCATTCCATACGGTCAAACCTTTTTCATTCACACATAGAAAAATGTTCCCCAGGCTCCGTCCCCTCTGCTCCTCCGCACACAGAGTCGTCCTCAGTTATAAGACTCTGTCAGTGAGCCAAGGCACCCTCAGCTGCTGTTTGAAGGAAGGTGGGTCTGGCTCTACTGTGAGACTATGTAAAATGAATTTCTTCCTAACACCTGGAGAAAAAACAGTGACAGCAACTTGGCGAAGCAGCATGCTGCTTAAAATGACCGCGAGGGGCACTGGGACAAAGCTCGGCCCTGGAGCCTAAGGACAGCCCTTTGCTCCTTTGGAAACTGGCAGTGCTTTGCACCGCAGGCTTTCCACTGGCACACGTTCAGGGGCGAAGGGGGCACCTGTCCTTGCAGCTGTGGCAAAAGAAAATAACACGAGGATCCCGAATCAAGGACTACATTCCAAGGCTTCACTCCGCTCTGATTCGATTACCTGTTTACAGTACAATTTCCAGACATGTAGTTTAAATGTCAACATAAAAGCCTGAATAATTTTCCCACATGGACTCATTCAAGTGCAATCAGTGATCTCCAAGTGTTCTGTTCATCCATGAATTTTTTGTTATATGAATTTGTGACGTCGCTTTACTCAGAGAAAAACAATCGGGGACACGTGGGGTAACAGATGAAGCCAGTCTTTTGCTGCTTGGAACCCTTCCTCTCATCATTGCTTAAATCTGATCAATTTAGTTTTTTGCTTAAGATCTATAAACCAACAAATAACAATCAGGTTTTGCTTTTTTTTAATACATTTTTTATTTAGATAACATCGATTTATAACATTATGTAAGATTCAGGTGCTCCATGTTATAACTGGACATCTGTGTAAGTTAAACCATGCTCACCACCAAGAGTCTAGTTTCTATCTAACACCTTCCCACTGGCCCTCTGTATCCATTTCACCCCCCTCTGAACGCCATTCCCCTTGGGTAACCACCAATCTGTTCTAAGAGGCTGTTGTTTTGTTGGTTTGCTGGCTTTGTTTCTTTATATTCCACATAAGAGTAAAATCATAAGGTATTTCAAAAGTATGAGGATTTTCCTGCTGTCATTATTTATCATCATTCTATAGAGACTCCTTTATTCTTTAGTTGCTCATTCATCTGTTTCACCGGCAGATACATGCTTGGACACTCAACGATATCGCTTAATGAGGGACCGCAGTGAATCAAACTGGCAGTGACGTTAAATGTCAACGGATCTAGCTGAAGTGAACATGAAGATACCATTCACCTGCACGTATCTGGGTGAACGATCTTGTGCTTCTGGCAGCAGCTCTCCAGACTTTCTCTGCACTCGATGCAACTGCAGTTTTCTGGGTGCTGGATGAGATCTTGGGGACACGGTGTTTTACAGATGCACTCGCAACGATCTTCGTCGAACTTCATGTGAGGCCCACAGAGAGCCAGTTCCTGGAGATAAGGGGGATCTAAAGAGAAGCAGACGAGGATTGGTGGAACAGCCGTAGCATGTGGAGAGCAGAGCCACCCAAGTTCACATCATTCTAGATAACTTGGATTCGCTTAAACTGTCCTGTAGATTTGTGCTCCTAATATATTTTGAAAGGTTTATTTATTTATGCACACAGAACTGGGGTACAGGCCAGAGGTGCAGGGGCGGTGAGAGGCTTCACCAGAGACAGAGTGGGGGGCAGAACAGGCAGATTGACAAAGCACACTACTGAGGGGAGCAGCAGGTGGGTCAGGAGAGGTCTGCAGCGCCATGTGGTCACCTCTGGGACGGAGATCCAACACATGCTGAAGTGGCTTCAGCTCCTTAGTGCTGTGCTTTAACCCGCTGTGCCACCAGGGAAGGCCCTGTGCTCCTAATATTTTAAGAGGGTGAAGGAGGTTCACAATACAAACAATTCACATGTTCTCACATTTGGGATAAAAAATGTTGTACACTGACTGTTTTTGTAAGGTGTTTAGAGAGAGTCTTCGGCTGCTGACTTGTTAGGAGTACAGACATTACAACCAAACATTCATGAAATGTAGGCGATCTGGGAATTGAGTTTAGTCCTTCCCAGTTTTTTTTTGGGGGGGGGGGTGAAGGGGGGTGGGATTGAGAGGCGAATGAAACAGAAATGGCATAGCCCTCATACCTTCTGGACAGTGGTACATTTTCTCACTGCAGATCACAAGTTGACCTACAACAATGACCTTGAAATTTAATCATCTGCTGGAAGATATATTTAGCTGAGAGAGGAGGGTCTGAGAAATTTTTGGTACACTTAGGGAGCAGATATTTCTAGGAAGTGTATGTAACAAAGTACTGGATAACTCTTACTCCACATCCACTTCTGATCAAACTGAAATTCATCGCAAAAAATGGAAGAGACAGAAAATCCAGACGAACTTGACTATGAGACCTTAGTATCTTTGCTAGAAGGCTTTGAAGGAACGTATGAATTTAGTTTCTTCTCCAAACTGGCTTCTCTCCCAGTTTGCCTTGTTTAGGCAATCACTCTTGACTCACCCACCATATTGATCCTAATCACCATGTCAACCCATACCAGCACCCCGGAATGTGCTCTCTCTTCCCATCACCACTGCTCCTGCCCCAATTCACTCAGTACCTCATATCATGTGAGTGCTCGTGTGTGTACGGCTGTCACTGAGCTTGCCACCACAGTTTTACTCCTCTGATCCATTATCAATGCAAATCACCTCTCTGCTACTTCACCTACCTCAAAAGGATCCCCTCTATCACTATAAAAGCCAATTTTCCCCTAGGACATCTGCAACTCTCCACGAATGGACCCTATTAACCTCCCCGACTCGACTCATCTTCGGTCTCTTTCACGCGTATATTGTATGTCTCATACCAAGTTATGGTACTTTCTGCTCCCCAATAACCAAGGGTCTCTCAGCTCCATGCCTGTGGCCTCCCTTTTCTCTGCTAGACGTCCTCCCCACTACTATTTTCTCGACCTCCTGGGAGTTCCCTACGTGCCTTTACTCTGTGCATATTTCCACACTGTCCTTTCTTGCTTTGCTTGCATATTTCTGTTTATTTCTAAGTTTCCTCCATTAAGTAAAAATCCAGAAGATTAGAGACCAGGTCTCATCATTCTGTCATAAAATACACACTTGCTAAATGTCTATCAAGGTTTTTTTGTATAATAAAAGGGTCTTGGAGCAGGCTGTATATGGGAACTCTGAAGAATCCCATCCAGCATTCTAAGACATTGGGTCAAACCACCTATTCTTGACATAGTTGATCATTAACGACATAACAAAATGGCACTCTCATCTCATGCCACCCCATCTGATTGCTTTGGGTTGATGATCTTTGAGGGACCAGGTGGAATGGGTGGTGGAAGGCTAGACCCGAGGAGATACCATACTGAGTTGTGTGAAGAGGAAAAGGGTAAGCTTTGTCATATGCCAGGGAAACAGACGTCACTTTGGGCAGAGGAGAGTTTCTAGGTAGGTAAGGAGCCCTTAAAAGTTTTGCATGGACACTAGGTGGCAGTAGAGATTCACTCACACCATTCAGGCAGGACCAACTCTTCTTAAGACGGGATGGTTTAGGGAACATTATTAGTTCACTGAACTTCACTTAACAATATACTTGGCAGAGGCTGGTCACACACCCTAAGGGCAAGTTAAAGTAACAAAGACTGGATGTAGGAGGATTGAGTCAAGCAGCAACCAGTTAAGGCTGACACCCTGAAATATTCTATGTCCATTTCAATCTTAGGGCAGTTGATGGCAGGGTATCAGTGTGTTCTGTGTCCAGCCTTGTTCCATTTATCATTTTTATCCATAAACAGATGGGATTTTCCAAAGTAGATTCTTGAAGTCATAGTTATCTTGAGGAATTTACAAGGACTCTCCCTCATCCATTTCTGCCCCTCCCTCCTTTCCTTTTTTCTTTATTTTATGGTTCCTTTAAATAGTTTAGCGCACTGAACTGAATCTGACAAGATGCAATTGAATTGAACGTGGATTCTGTAAGTCGAATGCACTCACTCGGATAGGGGCTGGCATGGCCTGGCTACAGTAAGCCCCCATCAGGGCTAGTTGCTGTTGGGGTGTTTGTTATCACTATTACTGTTTCACTACAGCAATCATTACCTTCCATTCCAGTGAGTGGGTTCTCCTCCTGTAAAACACATTTACATATGTTGTTATCCCAGAGCATGTCAATAGGACAGAGTTTCTTGGAATGGGAACAGCTAGAAAAAGAAAACAATAAACCAGATTTCAGGCTTTCAAGGGTATTCCAACCACCAGAACAATTTTTTTTTTTAAACGCTGACTACATTTCTGAGTAGAGAATAGTTAAGATTTTAAGGAGCTTAATTCAGACCTTTGAACTGCATCGTTTTTAATAGTTCTGTAATTACAAATATTTTATTTGGAAACTAAGCTGTCATTTCGGAAAGTTATAATCTTTTGAAGAAGACTGGTATTAAGACTGTGCAAGCTGGCTGTGAACAGAGCTTAGTTACCAAAAGTAAATATTGTTCTAACATAGTTCCTAAGCATTATCCTCTTTAAAATGGAGATAAGAACATTGGCCAGGACAGAGGACCATCCTAAGGATAAATGTTCCTTTTCTAGGAGCTTTCTTTCCCACTCGAAAGGGGTAGAACTGTCCTCCTGGGTCAGTGCTCACTAAGATAACACCACACTCTGCCTCGCCTGAGTCACTCTTGCCAGGTCAGTGTCCAGCGCGTTCACCTTACATTTCCATCCAGCATTTGTAATCTGGCCTTCATTGGTTTCTCTATTTTCGATTTTTCTTCAAGCCAATGATTCTTACTGTGATTTCAGACCACCACAGGCCAAGCTGCCATAATTTGTCTCATAAAGAATCACAAAATACTCTCAAGAAAATGTCAAAGTCAAATTAAGTTTAAATCAGTTTAATTTAAAAGAAGTTCCCATTTGGTAATTTTTAAGCGGAAGGGTCGAAAACTGTCAAGCTCAAATAGAGATGGTTGTGCCACTCCCCAGTGACCCCAGGAGTCCTCCCTACCCCACCTGCCAACTTCAGACTTCAATGTATAAACAGCCCGACACGAGTTTTATTGCAGCCGGGAGTAAGTTACCAGCTGCATTAGACCACGTGTGCTAAGAACAAAGATGTCAGCACGTACACATGCTGGGTTTATAAACACTGGTCCTCCCACAGTTTACCACCAAGACTGAATAAAAATAATACTTTTCCCAAAGTTTTTACCAGGAGATCTGGTTAGAAGGTAAAAGGTGAAAAAACTTGACGCCGAAGTGAGGACTCCATGCTTAATGAAGTCTTCACTCATAGCTTTGGCCAAGGCAAGAAGACGCTTACTCGAGTACAAGAAATGCTTACAGATCTTCTTCTGGGATCTGGATGGATCGTCTGATAATCGAGAATGGATGGCGGGGAGCTGTTGGCAAACACTTACAGCCTGTATGGTTGGCGACCTTAACAGGCACTAACTCAGGCACCGAAGTCAAAGGTACAGATATCTCAAAGAGCTGGAGGAAGGAAAGATAAACATAATATACAAACATTTTAAAAAACAACTCTTACAGATTAAAAAAGGCACTAACACAGAATATGGAAGTGAAAAAAATAAACTTTACTAAGCATCAGACTTTGGCCCAACCTCTTCACTGGTATGGCCAGCACCTTGGCAATGGTGCCACTGGGCTCGGCCCCTCCTCAGAGACTGAGTGCCAGATTTATGGATTAAATGAGTCAGGCTATGAAGTTCCTTCGAGACCATGGTGAATGGGTTATTGTTCAAAACTATTTTGGACCCTTCCCACACTATCTCCATGGACGGAGCAGAGTTTCCTGGTCCTTGACTGTGGATTTGGCTGTGTGACTCGACAGGACACAGCACGACTTCAATGCTGCTGCCATGGGGGCTTGTCTGCGCATGCGGGTGTGGTGGCCATGAGGAAACTCGGGTCTGGAAGGCTTGCTGGTCGTGGGGAGACACAGGGAACAGGCCCGGACTCAATCTGCAGCCGAGACAGTCCAGTGGAGTCCACTTTAATCTAGCTGAACCTCAGAAACATGAGTGAGAATAAGTCATTGCTGCTTGAAGCCACCGAATTTAGGGTGTTTATAAAGCAACATTAGTTATAACTAACTGGCAGAAGATCGTCGTGCCTGGACAAACAATGTTGACTAACACGAAGATCACTTTGTCTGCGTGCATGTGCCAGGCCCTGCTGTAAGCGCTTTGATAATTAATTCATGTACTCTTATAACCACATTACAGGAAGCCCTTTTATCCAGTCCACTCTCCAGATGAAGGTAGAGAGGGGTCTCTTAACGGGCCTACGTCCAGATAAGCATTGACTGGAAGAGTAGGGGTTTGGCCTCAAGGAGCCTACTCCTGACAGGTGATGTTCTTCAGAATATGCATCAGGGCTTCTGGGATTGAAACTGCTTTGACCCAAAGAAACAAGGTGGATCTTAGCAAGTAGAAATGGGAGAAATGTCCATTACCTTGTTCTAGAGTGGTTCTATGATTTATGAATGAATTTGAACTTGATTTTAATTGCTACCCATTCGAACCACAATCCCAGGTTGTCCTGACTACAGTCTTCACTTTATTTCTAACCAGTGTTTCACAGACCAGTCTACAACTTTGAACTGAGAGGTGGTTCTTTAAAACCACTATTAAAGTGTTCAACTATGCATCTTTGGAAAGAAAAACTGCTGTACACTTCAGTACATTCTTCAAAAGCAATCATTCATTGGATACCCCAGTCAGAATAAAGCACAGCTATCTGTTAAGTGGAAACAATCCATTAAAGTTGTGTTTATTCTGACCTTTCAAGATGTAATGGAACCTCCCTGAGTCTGAGAGAGTGTTTTTAGAATGTTCACTTTGCATCAACTTCATCTTCTTGCGAAATTTTTCAGCTGTGTTCTCAGGAATAACATAGTCATAAACGAAAACCTCTTACATAATGCAAGCTTTGTTTCCACAAACAGCTGATGCCTAGCCAAATGTATGCTATTTTTTTTTTTCCTGATTGGCAAATGGTGGAGGTCAGACATTTCACAACTTCCAAGATTTTTTGAAAGGATTCAGAGAAAGAACGTCCAGTTTCAAGAGTATTTTAGGGTGTGCAAGGAACAAAATGAATGATAACTTTACCTAGTACTGAACAAATCGCATTCCATTTTTTCTCACCCAGTGAAGATAACTACCTAACACGCACATACGTGGTGAACATGTCTACCTCTCTCACAAGCACCAGGAGAATAGACTGTATCAGTAAATGTGACAATGAAGTATGACAACATGCAGGAGAAATTTGCAACATAGCTCCAAATGGCAGGAATGGCAGTTAGACATAGAGCTTTTTCAGCTGTTTTCCTAAGTTTGTTATCACCCTTCTCTGACACAATATTGAGTACACTTGACCACAATATAAGTAGTGATAGAAGGAAACCGCATCTACTGAGCCAAAGTATATTAGAAGGTAGAGAAGGAAGACTTCTCTTTTTCATGGGACTTGAGGATTATTTCCAAAGGACTTCTGCTGTGTGCTGGATGTTCTTTACAGGTTCCTACAAAGATGTCCCCTCCCTTGCCTCTCCCCAGGCTGTGTCAGGACACTGGCCTGAGAGTCTGCAGCTCTAGGTCCTCCGGGCTCCCCAACTCTCTACCTTGCCCACAGCCAGTCAGCAGCCCTCTTCCCACTGTCTGGGTCCTGCCCCTTGCTTCTCCAGTCTAAGGTGGGCACGCATCCCCTTTCTGCTAGTCCTGGATGGCACAGCACTTCCTCCTTCCCCTAACCCTGTCCTCACCTCCTCACAGAACAATTCTCCCTCCCTCCATTTGAGCAACACAAAACCTAGAATATACAAGACCGGCTTTCTTCATCTCTTTATCTGTTCTAGAAACTTTCACATGGCTTTCTCATTCTTGACATGACAGCATCAGAGAGGCAGTAACTGAGGAGAGCCCAGACTCTGGAGTCCCACAGATCTGGATCTGAATCCCACAAGTTCCCTAGATGTCCTCATCTATGGTTAGCCCCTTGGAGTTTGTTTCAGGGTAACCCCCAAGAAAACATTTAGCACAGGCCTCGGCAGCAAGCTTAGAAGAAGTTGTCATCACTGCCATCACCTGGGTTCGGAGAAGGCCTGCTGACCGGGGCTCCTACCTGTTTGGAAACATAGGAGGTGCTGGTGTTCACACACACGAGGCTCTCGTCATTGCAGCAGCCACCACAGCGGAACACGCTCACGCAGGGCGGCTTGAAGAATGTGTTGGTGCTTCTTCCCAGCTCGCTGGCCACCTCCACACACGTCTCCCGGGGGCTGCACTGGGTTCGCTGCCACTCCTCATCTATAACTGCAGAGAGGCAGCTGTGGGTGAAAGAGCCCAGCCGCCCCACGGGGCCCAGCTCACACAGAGCGCGGACCTGCTTGTCACATTGGCAGTGCTGGCGGATTTGCTGATCATTCGTGCCAACAAACGTTACTTTAGAAACATTAAAACCCGAACTTGTGTTCCTTCCCACTTATGCTCTACAATATAGAACATATTGTAGAATATGATGATTTTCTTTTCCCCTGGGCACATCTGGAGAAGATGATGGGTAAGGAAGGATGAGGGGGCGTGCCCAGCAATAATGTGTTGCTTACTAAGGAGGTCATGGCCACAGCTGGAGAGCTCTACCGGATGCCAGGTGTGGAGAGCTGTCCCCATCCTTCAGAGACCCGTTTCCGTGCTCGCTCGAGTAACTATTCTAGGAAGCAAACCTAGGCACATGTGAATGGAAACTGAAGTGGAACTAATCTTTCCTGGAGTGAGAGTTTTCTATTCGCAAATGCTGGACACTGGCGTGTATGCAACATGATGGAAGAAGCCCGTTGAGCTGCATGGAAGGAATGGTATTCTGGCCGTTCTAGCTAAGTCAAGGGAAATAAAAAAAAAAAAAAAAAAAAAGGAGACATACCTCTGGGAATAAGAAGACCACATGCATTCTTGTCAAAGAGTATTTGTTTTTCTCTAACAGTTAATTTTTTAAATTAGACATTGCCACTGACACTTACTGTTGTGCAGCCTTTCCACAGACAGGTTTGGCACGTGATTCAGTTTTATAAGACGACCCTCACAGATGTCCTTTTATCTTGCCATGGGACTACAGATTTGATTACTCATTGGTGGGGGTAATGGAAACTTCTTGTGGTAGGTGGTTTCTAACTGACTGCCAATGATGCCCGCCTCCTGGGGTTCCTGCTCTCATCGAGTCTCTGCCTGTGTGTGGGGGCTGGATCTTGCGACTTACTCCTTATCAAGGCAATTATAACGAGAGTACTAGGATGTCACTTTTGTGATTAGGCAAAAAAAAAAAAAAACAAACAAACTGTGACTTTCCTCTTGCTCGAAGTCTCTGTCTGGCTCTCTTTCTCTTGCCTTCTGGCCTTAAAGGCATGGATGAAGTGAGCTGCCATGTTGGAAAAGCCCACAATGGCCTGTGAGGAACTGAGTTTTGTCAAAAGCTACTGACTGAACTTGGAAGCTTGCCTGCAGCCCCTAGGTAAGTGACTCTAGAGAAACCCTAAAGGAGAGCTCCCCTCACCCATGTAGGCCAGTTCTGCATTTCTGACCCACAAAAACAGTAAGAGAAGACATGTTGTCTTGAGCAGCCAAGTTTCAGGGTAACGTGTTTTGTAACAATACATAAAATCTCTATTTTCACCCAATTCAAAAATTTCTGTGGTGTCTCCACAAGTCATTCTGAATTTCCATACATGTGAACATGTTTCAAGTAGAAGGAATAGAGAGAACTTCCATTTGAAGTATACAGACATAATATATCACTGGAGATCTGTCCCTACTGTCTAATTTTTCCCCCTTAGAATATCTTTTCTATATCTCTCTCCCTTCCCCCCATCCCATTCCAATTTTCTTCATAAGTTGCTTCTTCAATCACCAAAAACACAATATGCAAGATTTTTGGCCCACTGAGAAATGCAGTATGCTACACAATTTGTTTTTTCATAATAAAGTCTTTTACCCGAAGAAAGCATTTTTATACACACAATTATGAATATTTATAAAACAGCCAGAAAGCTGTAAACACAAGAGATAAATTACCCATGTATGTATTAATCTGGGTGTTATTTAATTCCATATGTGAATCATGAATCCTTGAAAAAACAAGCAATCAACTTATGAAAATATTCCTAGTTTAAAATTCAACTTAAATATTGCTTTCCATTTGCTTTTTAAAATAAAATTAAGCTTTGAAAGTTGGAATATCAGATTTTCATCCAAACTGTGTGGAACTGTGACCAGTGCCACAGACAAAAGATTCATAATTCTGCTCCTCTTCTCTACCGTCCTGCAGGCTGATGGGACTCAGGGAGGGTTGATAGAAATTACAACTGGTGAGGGCCTGCCCTGGTGGTGAAATGGGTTAATGCACAGCACTATGAAGCTGGCCATAGTGCTTCAGCACAAATTTGATCCCCGGCCAGGGAGCTGACCCTCATGGCATAGCAGACCTCTCCTGTCTCCCCACCCACTGCTCCCCTCAGCAGTGGATTTCAGTAGATCCTCCTGTTCTGCCTCCCACTCTGTCTCTGGTGAGTCCTCTCCCCCTCCCCCACCGAGCGCCGTCTCTGGCCTTGCCCCAACTCTTGCATGCATAAAGAAATAACTGTTTAAAAAAAAAGAAATTATAACTGGTGTGACACAGTGAGTTGATTATTTCCAGCTTCTAGCTTAGTGACTGCTTTTAAATGATCCTCCATGTCATGAGAGCATCTTAGAGTTAGACATCTCATCAAAAAAGGGTGATGCCTAATGGGGGGCCACGTCATTAAGCTGGCAACCACGCTGCTGCCCACGGCCCAGTGCACAGCATGGTGCTGAAGAGTCACCATCCCTTTGGGAGAAGCAATCATTCAAATGATGTCATTTTCTAGTCTGCAGTTGTATTCTTTTATCTAGGAAATTCTCCCCCCTACTATCCTCCCATCAATACCAGTAGGCCTTACTACAATTCACCTTCCCGCATCTACTTTTCATTTTTACTAAACATCAGAGTTTTCAAGAAATAAGCAAGCTGTGCCTTCTTGGATCCTCTTCACTGAAGAGTTCCCAGGATAAGTGGGCGCCATGTTCTTTTTCTATTAAGAACATTCTCTGCCGTCACATCTCTGAGTTAAACACCGCTCTCATTTCTGAAGCATTCTTTTGGGTTGGTTTTTTATCTCAAAATCATATTGATCATATCTGGGGAGTATACACGGCAAATGGGGAGTCTTCACTGATTCCAAAACCATGACTTCAAAGATGCCCTTTTCAGCTCCCTGATACATGCATGCCCTACTCAAGCTTCTGGAAGAAGTTGGTGCATCTGTCACCATCTGGTAGAGAGTGTGAATTGCCACGTGTACCTACCTTTGAGTGTTTCCACGTCATAGAAAGTTGCCGCAAACCTGGTGGACCGGTGGGACGCTGAGCGAGCGTCCGCGCTGGGAAAACTTTTGAGCTTCAGTCTGCATCGCCACAGCTTCCAGTCATCAAAATGGGTGATTCGGAGCAATTCCTCCAAACCAGATGCCGCCCGAATCTGCTCTTCTGAGCGTTCTGACATTGACCGAGAGGCCCGCTGCAAATAAACAAATGAAAATACTGGCCTCAAAGCAAGTTTTAGTTTGCATTGATCACCTTTGTTGCAAACATACATGCCATCGGGAAAGAAAAGAAAATAGATATCGTCTCCAAACATACACTAGAACCTAGGAAAAATGACCTCTGCTAGTATTTTTGATTCACATTCTGTTCAATTATGATGGAATCAAAGGAATTACTTACTCCTCCTGGGTTCTCACAAAATTTAAGAAATATTGTAGCAAGTTGACTGGTGGACTTCAAAAGGTAACATCCTCATGGTCCCCTCCACCCCCCACCCCACCCCACCCCCGCCAACTTGTGAATTTGACTCTTTGGGAAAAGGATCTTTGCAGGGGTAATGGGGTTAAGGATCCTGGTTATCCGGGCAGACTAAATATAAACCAAGTGTCTTTGTAAGAGACAGAGACCAAAACTCAGATGCAGAGGAGGTCTTGGGAAGGCAGAGGTGGAGATCAGAGTAACGCAGCCACCAGCCAGCACTGGCTGGACCCCCTGCAGCTGGATGAGACAAGGAAGGATCCCTCCCCTCCAAAGATTTTGGAGAGGCCATGGCCCTGCTGGCAATGTGATGTTGGGATCTGGATTCCAGAACTGTGACAGAACACATTTCTGTTGTGCTAAGTCACCCAGTTTGGGGGTCAGTGTCACAGCAGCCACAGGAAACAACTTTTTATCATACTAGTGTTGTGACCCCAGGCAAGGACAATTGTTTCTAGCAATACTATTTGTCTGAGAAGCAGATCCATAATGTCTAGTCACACAAGAAAGATTTTAAGAGCCCAATAACCCAGGTTTTCTGACTTCTCATCCTATTTTTGATCGGTTTACCACTTCAAAGACACGATGTTTGCCTGATAAAATACACTTTGTGGGCTTACGTGGAAATTTGCTTTTCATAGTTACACAGCTGTAGTGGCTGATAAAATTTTCTATGAGAAAAAAGACTTGGCCAACCAAAGATTCTTATTTGATGCTATCCATGGGTACTAATGTATGGCTTCAGAGTTCTACAAGTTTCAGTTCAACTCAGAAATATTTTTAAACTATTCAATCATGAGAATTCAGGAGAAAATATCAAATCTCTAGGTGGAACTAAGGCCATGGCATGGCGCATCCAACTTATGTCATCCTCAAGAATGCGGTGTTGAGCCCTCCCTGGCGGTGCAATGGGTTAACCACAGCACTGTGGGGCTCATGCAGCGCTGTACCCCAGCCGGGAAGTGACCCATAGGGTGCAGTAGACCTTTCCTGTCTCCGTGCTGATCCTCTCAGCGGTGTGTTTCAGTATATTTACCTGTTCTGCCCCCCACTCTGCCTCTGGCGAGTCCTGTCACCCCCAGCACCTCTGGCCTGTACCCCAGTTCTTGTGTGCATGAATAAATAAGTCTTTAAAAAATGGAATCTTCAGGCCCTCCCTGGTGGCGCAGCGGGTTAAAGCACAGCACTAAGAAGCTTAAGCCACTTCCGCGTGAGTTCAATTCCCGGCAGCCCCAGAGGTGACCACATGGCGCGGCAGACCTGTCCTGACCCACCCGCTGCTCCCCTCAGCAGTGTACTTCATCGATCTGCCTGTTCTGCTCCCCACTCTGTCTCTGGTGAAGCCTCTCACCGCCCCTGAGCCTCTGGCCTGTACCCCAGTTCTGTATGCACAAATAAATAAATCTTTAAAAAAAATGGAATCTTCAACAACAAAAAACGAATGCAGTGTTTGTTCAAGTTTTCAGAAATAGTCCTCAACTATTTATGAGAACTTTAAGCCTCCAAATTTAGAAGCTAGTGTGAAATAAGTGAGACACTGCAGACAGTCCTTTTCAGCACGAGAGAGACTGGACAACTCCGTGGTATTGTCACAGGCTCGAGAATGGCAATTTATTCCCTATAGGTCTCCTGCACCGGTTGTTTTTTGCATAACTAACTTTATGTTATCTGCTTGGGCCAGAGGAAGGTTAAAGTTGGAAAGTGTAAATACAGCCTCCAATTCATATTTAAACCACTGGTTTCAATGGCATAAACTACACCAAACCTTTGCCAAATACATTGCTCATAATTTCTTCCTGATTTCTAATGGAGGTACTAATCAACACAAATAAATAGCAAGACGAATGAAGTAAAGCAGGGTAACCTGTTTAATAATACACCAGGATTTATGACTTTTTGGTAATTAACCAAATCTGTTAAAAAATATCACTCCTAAATAGCGAATCCTCCTAATGTGTTGGTCACCACATGCCAATTTCTGGATCATGTGGTTTAAAGCCTCTGCAAGATTTTGTGCTGTTTGAATACACACTGCTTTCTGCAGCACAATACCAAGGGAAGCCCCCTTTCCATTGTTAATTTCTACATCCTCATGCCATTCTCCCCTGAGGAAGCAAGAGCATCTCCAGATGTCAGGCCTAGGCAGTGCTCTAGGCCAAGGGTGACTAAGATGGGCGGTGAGTTGTTTGGAAAGATCCAGTGGCGGGTTCCACGTGGTAGAGACTGCAAAACCCTCTGGGCCCGACTAATTCCAACTCTCTATTTTTATCCCTTTCCCTCCCCATGCAAAGTATCCAATCAGGTAACACAAAGAGTAAACAGAGACATGACTTGGGGGTGTCAAGGAGCTACACTAAAGAAAACTGCAGTTCACGTTGGTTGCACACAACCAGGTGAGGGAGGGGCCTGACAGGTCAGATTAGGAACAGCGGTCAGTGCAGTGAGATGCCACTTCACATCCAGTGGAGGGCTAGCATCAGAAAGACTGGCAATAAATGCTTCATGTTGGGGACACAGAACTACGGGGACCTTTGTTCTTTGCTGGGTCACTACCTTGGAAAAGAGATCAGCAGTTCTTTAAAGAGTCAAAACATATCTTAGTCATAAGGTCAACCAATTCTCCTCCTAGGTAACAACCAAGAAACAGAAAATAGATTCTTGGCCGTGTGGGGGTGGGGAACAAAATGAGGGTGCATTGTAAAGGGGGGTAGGCGCTGAGAGGAGCGAGGGCTACAAGACTCAGCACATATACATAAATCCCTGGATTCCTTTAAAGCATGAATAGGGCCCTCCCTCGTGGCACAGGGCTTAACATCTGAGCGCTATCAAGCTATCGCCAGCCACTGCCACACGAGTTTGATCCCCGGCCAGGGAGGTGACCCACAGGGCACGGCAGACTTCTCCTGTCTCGCTCACTGCTCCCCTCAGGAGTGTACTTCAGATCTGCTTGTTCTGCTCCACTCTCTGATAAATCCTCTCACACACACTCATCCCAACCTGCACCTCTGGCCTACACCCCGGTTTTTATATGCATAAATACAAAAATAAATCTTTAAAAAAAAACACAAATAGGTACATCTTAGAGTATGCACGTTGTATATCAAGAGAGCTGATGAAAGCAAGAAAGAGGAAGGATCAGAGGCCTGAAGAGCACATTGCATGCAGCTGATGTAGGAGGCCTTGGAGGGCACTGGAGAGCTGGGAAATCAGCAGATACCCATTTCATTGGCTCACTTGCGGTCATTTCTTTCCCTTTGACCTTAGAACTCTGTCTACTTAGACCTTTCGTAGCTGGGTGTTTCCTTCTCAGGGAAACCTCCCCTACCACTGCCACCACTGCCTAGGTTGAGGGGCTCTATCACAGGGGTCCCCAACACCCCATCCTCCTCCTTGCCAGGGCTGACCACCACGGGCACTGTTATTTCTTGCTCAGTGCCCGTCTTCCCCATTGAAGCGATATTGATATGTCTTATTCACAAAACAATAGTCAGAGCTAAGTAAGTATTAAATCTGCACAAGCAAGTTGATTCCTGAGAAGCCATAGACCATTTAACCCTGAAATGATTCATTTATTCAAACTGCATCACTTATCCTTTTAAGCCTCTTTGAATTCCATCTTGGGGAGTGGGGGGGGGGATAGCTCAGGACTAAGCGTTTACCTTGTATTCAAATATTTCTATTCGAAGTCTGTTCTTGACTCGAGTCACCTGATCAATGGTTTGTAGGCCAGTTTCCCACCTGGATGACCTTTGCAAGACTAAAGAGCAGCAAGGCTGGTTTGCAGGCTTTGCAGCACTAGCAGGTCGAAGTGGCTGAAGAAATGCGACTCTAAACTCCCACAGGCCAACAGCAGCCTTTCCTCACAGCAGAGTGCAAGAGTTAGTGTCGCTGTCACCTCCTGTCATTGCCCAGGACAGAACAGCCCCTTCACATGCCAGCCTGTGCGATGTTTGAAGGGAAAGAGAAGTAGGAGCAGAAACACGAAACTTAAGAGGCTCACGACTGGGGCATCCAGCTGCGTTCAGATCTGGGATTGCTGAGCCAGAAGGCCCACTTTCACAGAGAATCGCAAAGGCTGCTCTTGGGGAGAAAAGATGCGGCGTATATACACGATGGCATTCTGCTTAACGATTAAGAAAACGAGCCCCCCATGTGCAACAACATGGGGCACTTGCAGGGGATGGCACTCAGTGAAATGAGCCGGAGAAAGGGACACTATATGTCACACACACAGGTGAGCTGAATAAAACAAAAACAAATGTTTGGCCTAAAAGAGCAATCAGTAGTTATCACTAGAGGAAGGGGAAAGAGAAGGGGGGTGGGTGAGCTGGGACAGGACTCTGGTGCAGGAAGCATTTGGACATGTAGCCCCCAACTTAACGTGGCACCTGCACGTCTCAGCAGTGAACACCTGACACTTGTATGACTGTCTGATGCACTCTTACTTCTAAAAAGATAAAGCCTTTTCTTGGGCCATTCCAGTCACATATTGGTGAGCATCCCCCTGTTCTGGATGTGGGAACTGGCCTTCTGGTGGCAAGCACCACGCACCATGTAGCCTATGCCAACATCGGAGTACGAGGCTGAGAGTATCTTTAGGCATGGACCCACCTGGCTTCAATTACAGAGTGAAAAAGAAATACTAAACCAAGGGAAAGAGTTGAACAACAGGTGAAAGAACCCCTCTGTTCTAGATACAGAAAAGGAGGTCCGCCG